TATTTGACTCCATTAAATGAAATTATTTAATGATCTAAGAGTATCTTTTCACAAAACTGATGATGAACTATCTTTATTATGACTAATACTCATCACACTCTTCATTAGAATTTTAAATGTATATGCGACTTCCATACAAATATATGCAGCAAATACAATTAATTGGAAACACTTGAGCAAACTACTGGATCAGAAAGCAAGTGAAAGTGCATACATTACAAACCTTGACTTGCGTGATGTAGCATCGTGCTCAGGTGAAGAATCTCTGTTGTCACGAAGCTCCTTACTGCTCATAGCAGCAAGAGAACATACACCAGGATTCGTAGAGAGGAGAAGGTATTTGGAAGAAAAAAAAAAGACACCAAATATACCACACTATACATGCAACACTAAAGACAAGAACATATAACAGCCCAAGATCCAACATAAAGAAAAAAATTAGCATGTGAACATATCTAAGCCATAAGAATACAAAATTTAAAACACAAAGATAAGCAAATTAACAAAAGAAAATGCAAAATTCTATTATTTGTAAAGAATTACAAAAAATTAACTCACAAAGGCAGTGTTATTTACACATGTGCATAGTTTACATAAATGGTTTACACAGGGATCACAATTTCAACATTGATATTATGTTTGCATTGGCTTTAAGATTTGAAATACACAAATATACTACGGGTTTTATAAAAAAGTGCTTCAGAAGCTCTGAACATGCTCGTAATGCACAATGCAAGTGACTTTAGGTTTACTAGAGACAAATCATATACATATCTACATGCACTATCCTATATTCACTGCTGTCAACAACACGCAACAGAAGATAGCAGTGACACTGATAACATTTGTATATATGACAGAAGGAAGCAGTAGTACCAGAGAGTATACTTACGTAGGTGTCTTTGGCTTTGATAATTTGCGATCCCGAGCAATTTGTTGGGCATGGACAGTAGGTGGTTGTTTCACCTGGCGAGATTTGCAAACACTATCTACTTCTCCTTGCCGCTTTGATGTGTTCTCCATGAATTCTCTGTGATCAACAATGAGACCTTCAAGAGTAGGCAGATCATCTGGCAATGGCTCAGTTTCAAGGGCCATCAAAGTGCCTTCCAGGCCTGCCAACCAAGCCAGCAGTTCCTCAAGCAAACCTTCCAAGTCGTGCAGTGATCGCAGATGCTCATTCAGTCTCGTCTCTCGCTGTTAATTTCACCAGAAGATATTAATAATAATCCATCCACAATGACAATCTCAACCCAACTAGATTCCAAATAATTGTGCTGAAGGTTTTGTGTTAAACTGAGCTAATGTCTAATTTACATTATAAAGAAAAATATACTTGCCTGTGAGGCCCATGTGAAAACTTCCTCCCATCTTGACTGAATAATTGTTATCCAATGTTTTATAACAGTTGCACCATCTGGATGGGCTTTGGCAAGGATTCTCTGAGCAAGATCGATAGTTGCATCTTTTTCCTTTTCCTTTTCTTTCATTTCACGGAAAAATCTGTAGGAATTTATACATTAGAAACATGTTCTAAACCATGAAAATATTTATGTAACACTTGCTGGATTGCTAAACAGGTATCAATAAATTTATTCTCTTACTTCTCATGTTCAGCCAATTGGTTTCGAGTATCCTGTTCATCCTCAGGTAAAGGCCCAGCAAAACGAAGTTTCATTTCTGCATCTGACAACCACTCCAAAAGCATATGTACAGCCTTGTGTAATCGCTCAGCCTACACAAGAAATGAAACATAGAAAATTAGTGAGAATAAATTAACTTAAAATTTAAAAGGTTTCAATCCCAGAGAGTTTGTAATTTTTCAAAACCGTAAAATATCCCCCCCCACCCTTTTTTCCCTCCCATTCAAATGTAACTTGCTAGGAAAATTCTAATGCTCAACTTGTAATCCTAACAATCATTTTTATCAATAATCAATATATTTCCAATTTATGAATGAAAATCACTGCAGCATTTTTACAGAAATCAAAATTCTTTTTTTTACATTACTATTGTGTATATAAATAATTAACCTTCTACTTATTGTTTTAACTTAACATTCCTCTTAGGAAAAAAACATTTCTTTACCTCCTTGAGTGCCTCCTCTAAACGATCAGTCTTTCTTGAGCTGAGCATAGACACCTTATCCCACAAATCAGTAAGTTCTCGCAACTGAGCTCGGATGGTAGCAGCATCAGCTGCAGTTGCTTTGGCTTCCAGCTCCTTGCCAGTCTTCTGCACAGACTCCATTTGTGCAGATCGGCTATGAAGATCCTCCTCAAACGTTTTGTGTTGCTCCACAAGGGCCATTACAGTGTCCAGGTCTCCGTGGACTGGTCCTTCCTCCCCAAGCACCTTCTCTGTCTTTTGCAGCCACTCAAGCAATGCCTGGACAGCATCCTTGAACTGGCCAGAGAAAAGTAGTGCCTCCTCCAGCTTCCGCTGCCTGCAATACACCATAAATTTAAGCACCTAACTTCCTTTCATTCTCACAGAAAAATGAGACGAGAAATGCAAGCGTTACAACCATTATTTCCAAAACAATATCCTATTTCATATCTATCAATATCCAATATTCTCACATCGAACTTGCCAGTACAGCATAACACATTTATATACATTTTTTTTTTTTTAATTGACAATGAAAATGTGTTATAGGAATGACATATCACTCAATAATGTTATTTCATCTCAGTTCAAATATTTTCTTGCAACAAACAGTATTATTTTTTATGAATATTTTAAATGTACTACAACTAAAATGTGTAGTTTATGCTAGCTCCACCTGAATTTGCAGAATAGGTGGTATATTTTCCAAATATTAGGTATGATGTCATTGCACTGAGCGTTCTCTATTAAAATATGCATCTTACATATTTTCTCTTTTCAATTGTTCATGAATTACTTTTTGAAGCAAGTTCAGATAATATATAGAGTTAATCGTGATAGTTCAAAGAATGTTTAGAAGCAAATTAATTTTAACTAAATTTTAAAATAGTCACCAAATAAACTGCAGTAAAATCATCTTACACACAGTTAATAACATACTATTTTCCTTATAGTTATTTAATATGTTTAAGAACATCATTCTTAAGATAAAAGAAACACTTACCTGTCAACTGATTTAGCACACACAGATGTCCACTTGTTCTTCAGGTCAGTCATCATCTGTTTCAAAGCTGGTTCATCTGTCTTGGGAGCTCTTTCTTTCAGAGATTTTCCAGCCTTCATAGTTGAGTCATATGTAGCCTGTTTACCGCTCAAAGTACGCTGGAACTCACGATGTTTGGCCAAACGTGCTTTAATCTTTTCAGGGTCATTGCCAACTCCAGAAGCTTCTACACTCAATTCATCCAAACTCTTCTCAGTTTCATTCAGCCAAGTCATGAGACCAGACCTAAAAATGATAAACAGAATGTGTTTATTTTATATTTGTAATAAATAATCTGTAGCTGAAGATAAACAGCAATACAATCCCATAACATTTTCAGGCTAAACAGTAGGCCACAAAATAATTACAGAAATAAGATTTCAAAACCTTGTACACTTTGGCTACGGAGATTACAATACAGATCAATTAAATTTTACAAAATAATAGAACTGTTTTTAATTATAAATCATCATTCTTAAGATTACAAGATTACAGTAAATACGCTCAGTTTGTAATCCACAGTTTGAAATGAATCTTACAATAAATGTTGGTTGTGTGAACAAAATTAACATGGTTAATTTTGTGATACAAATTATCACTTGTATAATTTGTTCCATGTAAAGTGAATGTAGACATGAATAAAACACTGGAAAGGAAGACAAAAGGTTCAAACTAACCATGAATCATGGAATTCTCTGGCTTCCTTATATCCATGATCCAGTGCTCGGGTCCTTTCCGCTGACTTTGACACAACTCGCTCCCAACGATGCTGTACACTTATCAAGAGGTTCTTAATTAATATCACATCCTGTTTCTGGCTAAAATATTTCAAATGAGTGCCCTTCTTGTCTAGATTCAACATAGTTTCTCTGTGCACCCCAACATCCTTTTGGAATGCCTTATGTTCTTCAATTTGACCCAAGATAGTGTCCATCACACGTGAAACAGGTTTCAAGTTATTCAGAGTCTTTTCAGCATTAGTCAACCAATCTACAAATGACTGAATAAGAAAAAAATTATTTGCACAGCTACTCACTGTAGTCTCACGACAGAAATTTCATTCATTAGATTACATAGTATAAAATTAATAAATATACACACCTGAAGAGCATCATGGAATTCTGATGCCTCTTTAAGGGCTATTTCTAATTTGATCTTCTTATCATTTGCACGAGATGTCACACTGTCCCAGCGATGTTTCAAAGTTTTCAGATTATGTTGAAGATTACTGGCAGATGTTCCTGATTTCTTCAAGTAATCTTGACCTTGCTGTAATGTTGCCTCAACTTTTGGACGATTTTGTTCCAACTCATTGTAGACTTCCTAGGAATCACCAAGTAATCCAAGATCAAATACACAACCAAATAAACAAATAAAACAAGCATATCTATAACCCATTATCAGTGGAAAATGCAAAGAAAATTATTTACCATAAATCGCTCTAGTTGTTCTGTTGCAGTTTCTGGTAGACCTCCAACAGGTTTAGAAGCTGCAATCACACTGTCAACATCTCCAAGCCAAGACAGCAGATCTTGGATTTCTGCATTGAATCGCTGAGCTTCCCTCAAAGCATCCTCCAGTTCTAACTGTCTGTCAGCTGCCTTCTGAAGCAAGTCCCGCCAGCGGCGGTTTAGTTGTGACAATTTGTCTTGGGTGGCTGAGGCTTCATCAGAGCCCTTTCCTGACTCTATTATCTGCCGGCCGGCATCATTGAGGGTATCGACACTAGTTTGATGAGCTTGAATGTCATTCACCAAGACCTAGAAACAATTATTTAATTAACATGACTTCAATAACATATGATTACATTAAAAGATGTCAATCAAAATGAAAATAACTGAACAACTTCTGTACTTTCTATAATACAATTCTACATTTTTCAACAAACCTAAGAAGCCCCTGACGAAAAGTAATAATGTAGTAGTAATTATTATTGAAGTTTCAGACATTAAGTTCATTTGAAAATACTTACTTTAAGCTTGGCAAGTTCCACTTCCAGAACCTGGGGGTCGCCAGCGACAGGTCTTAATTCATCCAGGGTTCCATCAGTGCGTTCAATCCAAACAAGCAGCTCTGCCAAGGCGTGCTGGAACTGTCCCAAGCGCAGGAGGGCATTCTCAAGCTGCCGCTGCCTCTCTACCATGCCGCGCAAGAGTTCATCCCAACGACGGTTCACCGCAGATAGAGGCTCCTTAATAGCAGCTGCTTGGTCAGCAGACGTACGCTCAGTAAGCTCCTGAGCTTGCCTGATCATTGGACAGAATAAATATTACAAACGGAAAAAAAGGAAAATGATTGAGAGTATAATTGAAAAGCTTTACAAAAAATTAATATTGGCAAAGAAACGAAGCAATGAAATGCAAAAATGTTGTGCAATGCAGATTTATTCCACTGTAAAAAGCTTATGTTTGTAAGTCATACACAAAGTAACTAAAATCAACAAAAATGAACAATTTAAATGATAAATATTATTGCACATATATAATAATACTTCAGAGCAAACATTAAAAGCAAAATTTCAATAAGTGATCTTACATGCATTTGAAAATTTATTCTGAAAGTATTAGGTGACAAAATCTAGAGCAAATGCATCAGATCATCACTTTAATCTACACAAAATGAAAGGGACATTTACTCATATTGTTTTCCAAATCAATGAACAATTGTCCATCAAGTTTCACTTTTTAAACATGCAAGTAAGCAAAGCAAATTACTAAAATCATGCTCTATTGGACACAGAAATTTAAGAAACTGAGAATACCGGATACAGAAACATGCAGTAATTTCTTAAGATCAACTTCATGAAAATTAGCAAACACTATTCTCCCCAAATTCAAAACTAATTTATTTGCACATTTTGAAATCATAAAGCAAAAATAAAAACATGCGAAATGGACATGTAAATTCAACAGCAATATCAGAGTGATTTGCATGCACCACTTGCCTTCTCAGAGCCCTTGTTGTCAATGGTAAGTGATGTCGAAGAAGAGACAGAGAAAGAAATGAAACATGTTATCAGAACAAATCTCAGAGTCAACTTAAGTACTGTAGATTTAAGAATTTTTATGATACTGTCAGTACTGTACAATTTTCAACAGATTAGTCACTAAACTACAGAAGTAATGTTTGATAATGATAAATATCTCTGTACAAGTTACTGCATTCTCACCTGAAACTTGAATACTTTAATAATAATTGATAATAATAGACTGTCATGCAAGATAATCTTATATGTAGCGGGGAAAAAATTAAGATGTCAAAACAAATGTAAACAATGATAAAATTAGATATTTATAATTGAATTGGGCAACAATTTCAAAATATGTAATGTTGCTTGTCGCAACACAATGGAATGTTATTGAAATCTTTAATGAAATGGTAACAAGTAAATTCAACATATGTATTTTTAATAATTGCAACACAATATAAAAATATAGGGAGCATTCTCAGGCTTTTGTGCCAATTGTGAAAACAGGTAAAATTTTGTCCAAGCAGCTGAAAAGAAATGGAGTCTAACCAGAGCTTCCTTCATAGAGTGCATCAAAAAAAGAAAGTTGGCACAGTTATAATGATAACTTCAAACTCTCCTGAGATTAATTTCATATTGCTACTAAGAATATTAAGTATAAATTCAAATTATGAATTAGATTAATTCCACCACCATCATAATTGTATTTAAAACTACCTGTAAGTTTCACTCTAAAAAAGGCAAAATCCATGCTAATATTTCAATATTTCTACCATCACCACCTTTACAAAGAAAATCTTATCACCAAACCACTACAGTTATCTGAATTATTCACCACATACCTGTTCAGAGCCTCCACTTTCACCATATGAGGATCAACATCAGCCTTAAAGTCCTTCAACTGTTCAATCTGTTTCTTTACTGCTTCTATATCTGAACCCAATGCACCCATACTTGCAAAACGGTCTTCCGCGGTGTCCAAGAACTCGAGTAAATTCTTTTGGAATAACACAAAGTTGTTAAAATACATATCATACACATTTTCAGAAAGTAGAAAAATGAGATTAATTGCATTATCCATTTAAACATACATTTAATACATCAAAGCTACTAAATTTGACAACACTTAAACTAGCAATAGAGCATATTGCTTCTAAAAGATTAGTTTAGCATTCCCAGTGTCTTAGCCTAATCAGTTATTAATGTCTACTTGCTTATGAAAAAATTAACCAGTTGATACACCCAATGAATTATTGTGTACTATTTAAACATTATAAATCTTTATAATATGACCATCCTAGAACTTAATTTTATTAATCCAAAGAGTTTATTAATGACATTTCAATAATTAATAGAAATGAAGTAAAATAAACATTTTACTCACCTGCAGTGTCTCATGGAATTCCATGGCCTTCTCCATGGCATCAATGAGATTTTCTTCTCTCTTGGCATACAAGGCAGTAATGTTATCCCAAGCAGAGTCCAAATCTTCAATGTGCTTTTTCACTTCAGGTTTGTCAGGTTCACCACACAAACTCATCAATTCCTGACCTGTTTGACGGCACTGATCCACCTCTGGTTTTGTCTGTGAAAGATAGAAGCAATTTAGTATTACAATACTTTTAAGCAACTTATCAAAAGAAAAATAATCTACATCAAATCTATTCATGAAAATATAATTTAAATTCCTAAATTTCATTACATTACCTAAAAGAAAAATAGATATGAATTAATAAGGGATTTAAAACATGTATGTTCTCTAGAAACATCAATTTGTAAAATGGTATGATTAAAATAAATATGTGATGACATCTGTGAGGCTCTGACAAATTTCCACGAAGACATCATAGAGCAAAATCACACATCAGCATAATTTCAGGACTGTTCACAGTGTTGTTTAATAAAGCTCAATCACACACTCATTTTAATAAAAAAATTGGCCTTGGATTCAAATACAATTGAAATAAGGCAAGTTGGTTTTGTTCAAAATGTTCTGCACAACCACAAAAAAGTTTGATATAGGCAGCACTTACTTGATCAATCTCATGACGAATTTCTTGAAGAGCCTCCTTCTGCTGTCTAATTGCGTGTGGTTCAACTGCTGGAGGTTCTTGAGAATTAAGCGAGTCTTGTAAGTCTCGCAACGTGTTCATAACACTGTGTAGCTCATCCCAGAACCGTTCAGCAATTGCTAAGATATCATCAAGAGATTTGCTGCGATCATTTGTGGCCTTTTGTACTTCATTCCATAAGCTGTTCAGCCGCTCCAATTTACGTTTGATGTCTGAAAGTTGAAAAAAGAGGCAATTCAATTATTTTATTATATTTATGTTAAAGGTATTGAGATGTACTTCATGTACTCTTATTAATTTGTGAATTTTTAAGAAGACAGCAAATAGCTTAAATACTCATAACTCTACATTAAGTTCCATTATAAAAATTAGCAAAAAAATAAAAAATTTCATTCCTTATTGGTTTTAATGAAAGCTTGTCATATATTATCTTCTTTTACTGAATTATATAATCCACCTATCCAAGAAACTCAGTAGTTCCCCATACCTGTACCCTTGATTTACTTTGTGTCTAATGAAACATTAACTTTAAAAAAATACTAAATATCCCAATTGTCTATTTTTTGCTTAATATATTGAAATAATCTTTAGTATACCCCACCAAAATTTTGTCTGTGGAAAACATACCTTTAACTGCTGGATCAGCTTGGTTTGTGGCTTTGCTGATTACATCATTTGCAGCTCGCTTAACAGCCGCATACGCCACTTCACGTTTGTCAAGATCTTCCACCAAAGCAGCATTTTCTTCAATCTGGTCACGAATGCGAGATGGATGGGCTGAGACTGGCTCTGCTGAATTCACTTGATCTGCAGTGGAACCCAGAGCACGAAGCATGCCTTCCAACTTGTCTGAGAATTGACTTGACTCCTAAAAAAAGGCAAGGAAACAACTGTGTAATTACAAAAAGAACAATGAAATACACAAGACAGTAAAGGATAATACAGAAATAAAAATTTATTTTCTCTTATTTTTATTGTAATAAATAATGGCACATTAGCTTTCACCATAAGAATAAATTAAAATTATAAATAAAAAAAGGAAGGAAATGTTTTGGAAGCACTAGTAAATAACCTTACGCCTCTTAAAGGTGAGGTTTAACACATTTAAATTTAAATACACACCTGCAATGCCTTTTCTAAGGCCTGCTGTCTCTGTCGCAACTCAGTTCGCAAAGCACCATATCTTTCATTATCAGCATCCAAAATTTCTTGAACTTTAGCACCTTCCTCGTCATTGCATAGGCGAATGAGGGCTTCTCCTGTTTTATTGAGTTTCTCCACCAGTGGTTTATGTTCAGAAATAGACTGGACAAACATCTGAAAGAAAATTTAAAATAAATATTAAATAAGGTTAAATGATTAATAATACATAATCTACAAACTTAAGTCTGTATTTTATGAAAAGAAAGCTTACAATTTGAATTTAAAGCAAAAAAAAGGAATTTTATTTTAAAACTAATAATCAAAATAATTGTAACCTTTTAAGGCAAACTAAAACTAGTGTAACAGAATTGCACAGACTTTCTCATATTAGTCTCCTGATCTCATTAGTGTGGACTAGTTTTTGGTTTGGCCTCATCTCCTACCTCATTGCGATCTTGTTGTTGAGCAATGAGATCTGGACGCAAGGCAGGCATGGCCAACATTGCCACTTGCTGCTCCATGTCCTCCAGCCAAGAGGAAAGGCCGGCATGAGTCTCATGGAAGTGCTCCGCCAGTGGCAAAGCTTGTTCCAAAATGCCCAGACGGTCCGAGCTTAAGCCTGACACAGTATCCATCATCTCTCGCAGATCTTCCATTTTCTCCCGGATAGTTGACGTATCTTCATGTTGAGCAGATTCTCGCAGTACCTTGAATAAGATGAAGTTAACAGTTAAATGTACAATATTTCCCCACTCTGAAATAGACAATCAGATATTCTAAAGATGATGATTCGGTTATTAAAAAAGAAAAGTTTCAAGACATCATACATCCACATATTGTTAAAATCATTACACAATCACAATATATTTACCTTCTTGGCAGTGGAAAGGACATCTCGTACTCGTCCTTTCTGACTAGATATATCATCATTAAGAGCTTTGTGTTCCTTCAGTTGGACACGGATAACATCTGGATCAGAGCTAGGAGGCTCTGCTTCACGAATCTGTCCTTCTACCTCACGGAACCAATCAAGGAGTTCATCAATGTCACCAATAACTTCCAATGAACGCTGTAAAAAAGAAATAGATTGCTTTTAAGCGTATATTTGCCACCACATCAATGAAGTAGAGCACATATGTGGCACAAAAGAACCACTTTTTTGGTTCAAACGAGTTTAAAAAGTCCCATACAGATAATGATCCCTATACACAAGCAATTACTTTCTTTTTACCTGTTTGGACAAGAGGATACGCTCGCCCTTTCTCTGAATCTGTTCTGCAATCGCATCAAATCTACGGTTATCTCTAGTGACAAGTCCTTCAATGGTTGAAGCACCTTCCCCAGGAGAAATCTGACACAACTGAGGTCCAACCAAGTTGATTGTTTCCAACACAGGACGGAATTCTAAACAAACAATAAAAATACATTGAACAAATAAATTCACAAAATAAAAAAAATAAAAAAATTAAAAAAAAAAATCAACTACGTTTTTTTGATGTTTTTTATTTCTGTGAATCTTAATGCAGTAAATGAATAACCTAACACTTCTGTATTAAATAAACTTACCGTATTTACCTGAATATAAGATAAATTTTTTCCCCGAAATATCTCAGTCAAAAAATGTGAGGTCGTGTTATATTTCAAGATTAAGCCTACTTGGGTAGGATTTAAGTTTTTACATTGGCATTCCATGTCATGAAACTCGTAAATGTTGATGTAACAATAAACTGTGAAGACCGTATAAATATCACATGTAACAATACGTACGTACTTATATTTGCGTTTATATTCTCGGCATCTACTAAGATTTTGTTGAGCAAATCAGACTGATATTTTTGAATGGGCCAGTAAAGAAAATCTCTAACCAAATAGCATTGTATTAAATGAAACGTAATGTGAAAATGAATGCTGAGAGTTTGTTACACAGTGTGGGTTCGACAAGGCCACGTGGAATCACGGTTCGACGCCCGTCGAAAACAGAAGCCTTGAATAAGTGTGAGACGTATAGAAAATCTGATAACAGAAAGGAATGTTCTTAGATGATGTCTGATGAAAGACTATGAAGAACGAAATAATTTAGTCCGCAAAACTTTCAAGAGTGGACAGAACATGTCACAGCATGGAAGGAGGACCAAAAAGAAAAAAAACATTGATACATGTGAAGATTATGAGGGTAGTGGCAAAAACCATAAGTGATATAAATGAACAAGAAAATAATAGTTCAGCAATAACTCTTACCATTCTCATCGACAAGGCAATTTTCTGGTCAATAAGACATTTTGTAATTTTATTTTGACTAAATAGTAAGAATTAATCAAAATTTCTTAAAATTCTCAGGCGGTCCCTTAAAAAATTAGGTGCTTGTCTAATATTGGAGGTCGACTTATTTTCGGTAAAATACGGTATATCTCATTTTTCTTTCAATGACAATCAGTTATCTTGAAATCTGAAAATAAAATCTTATGATTACCTTGGATATCAAGTTCCAAACGCTGAATGTCCTCTTCATGTGGTTCGGCACACTGCAATTGTGCTTCCGCTCCCATCATCCAATCAACCAATCGGTTATGGCAATTGTGGAATTGTTGTACCAATGGCAAAGCCTCCTGAGCAACAAAGATGAAAATAGACAATATTATTATTCAAATGGATTTGTCTTCATTGTAAATGAAGGGATTTGGGCCTGTTCTTCTATTTCATCATTTAAATCACTCTTTGCAAAAGATAGTACAAATAGATAAATTTCACTGCCACAAGCATAAACGTTGAAGAATAGTGTCCTAAACATGAAGATACATCTATGGCTGCCACTTTACAACAGACTTCAATTTATTTTGATGTGAATAGCATTTCTGTGCAAAGAGATGAATCATTATTATTATTTCTCTCTTATTTCAGTCTATTTCATATTTCATTATCTATGTCTTTAATAACACATCCACAAAGGGTACTACATTAAATGAATAAGCATATTTAAAGTTACAAAGGAGTAAATGTTTGAATATCACAGCAGTAGGTCATCTAGATAAAGGTCAAAAGTGAAGTTCAGTTCAAACAATTAGATTACATATCATCAAAAACAACTGACAATGAAATTAAACACAATAATGTACAAAGAAATAATAAAACGGTGTTTTACAAAGCAAATGAAAATATTTTTTTTTTTTGAAAAAATTATGATCTCAAAATAACACTGTCGCTTTTGAAGTACTGTACTCTTTACAGTATTCTTATGTCTTCAGCAGACACAAATTCTAAAATTACTCACCTGAGCATGTTTAAGTAAGTCAGTACCCCGAGAAGTGAGATCATTGAACCGCCGCTGAAGAGAATCAAGTTTGTCTTTAAGCTGCAGGGCTTCATCGCTGGAAATGTGTTTCATGAGCTCCAACCCACTGTCCACAGTGCCATCCACTTGTGTTTGATGGTTGGCCACTTCCTCTGTTAGGTCCTGGAAAGCAACGAAACGGGCCTCTCATTAAGATATTCAATGCAGTAAGTTTTATTACATTTTCAGGTAAGATATTTTTCCAATGTCAGGTGAGTATTGAATATCGTTAACAGAAAACAGGAACACAGAATTGTGAGTTTAATTCAGTATATCACGCAATAAAATCTAATTTGAACCAAGCTCACCGCAAGATCATCCATCTGCTCAAGCAACTTGTCGGTGTGCACAGCCAGCAGACGGTACTTGCTGAGTCTGTGTTCCATAGCCTCCATCCATGCTTGGAGGTCTTGGTAGCCCAAAACCAGGTGGCGTAGTCCAGCACGGGAGGATTCTAGCAACTGACCCACATTCTCAGATGTTTCCACAAGGGTTGCATACCGATCAGTGGTGTCTTGAAGCTTATCAGCTAAACCAAGGGCTTCATCTTCTCCAACAAGCTGCATCAGTGTACCTGCCACTTCAGTCAGCTCTGAGAAATCTGATTTCTTCCGAATGATCTCATTGTGCAATGTCTGAAATGTAATTTAAATCTCAATAAGTAAAGAAATTAATGACAAAGGTAAAGAATAATTTCATTTTGAAATATAAACTCAAAAAATCAGTAATAACACAATATAAATAAATAAATTTGGGCATAAAAAATTAGAATCATTTAATAATGAAAATACACTATCTCAAACAAGAACTAGAGCATACAACTTATTTATAATAATTCAAAATGACATTTTAAAACATTACAACCACAAAACCTTCAATATTCAGTTGGTACCTGCATTGATATAGGTAATTAATTATTAAAAAGAATATTGAAAATTTGTGGTAATGAATAAATGGAACTCCGACAGCACAGATTCAAACTTGTGTTGATACATGAATAAATGGGAAAAAATCCAGCTGTGTTAATTCAAATATTCAACAGAGTTCAAATAACTACTTCATGTTATATTCAACCAACTTAATGTTTATATCTCAACTCATTGTTAAACAAACAATGTAGTTCAAGAAAGCAGGTTCCACTAGCAAAACTTTTGGTATGCCCCTCAAATAGCCAGGGTCAATCACTTCAAGATCTCGGCTCCCTATTAGAGACTGCAGGGTTTATTTGTAATGTATATTCCCGAATTTCTGGTATTTTAGAATGTCAAAATATCTGTAAATTTTAAGTGATACTTAATGATGTTTTGACTTTAAACTTATGACATACACTATGTTCTCTGATGCGTTGCTGAATCTTCTCCTCATCTGTCGGTACCAGCTCCATGTCCTTGACCTTCTTTTCAGTCTTGTCAAGCCACTCCAGAACAGGCACCAGCCTCTCCTGGAATTCTCTTGCAACAGCCATTGCTTGCTCCAAGGCCTCATAGCGCCGAGTTGCAGAGTCTGTCAGATGCTCAAAACGCTCCATCAACTGATTTAACTGACGCTCAATGGCCTTACGCTCAGATGCATCAGCGCCAGCAGCAACTTCATTGCCCATTGCAAACAAGGACGACATTGAGTTTTGGCGGTCAAGCAACATTTTCTTCAAGAACTGTAAAAAAATTCGGATTTGTGATTTTCCATTTTTGATTTCAACGTAATCTCCCATCTCAACAATTATAAATGAAACATTTAAATATACAAAGAAGCAATGGACACATACAGAAATAAGTAAAGGAAAAATTGCAATAAAAGAAAAATTATTGTTTTACACAATTTTTTTAGTAAACATGTCTTAAAATAAGAAAATTTGAATATTTTATTTTTATTGATTATTTAATTCAGCTAAGAAAAGCAAAATCATAAAACGTGGTAGAAAATTGTTCTAGTTTGAATGAATCCCAGTTCAAGTTTGAATACTTACATTCTGCTCCTGTAACTGAGCTTTGACAACCTTGTAATCTGCTGAGGGTGGCTTTTGATTGGCAACCATATTTTCTGTTTCTGATAACCATTTCTCCAGTCCATCTAAAGCTTCCTGGAACTTTCCTGATTGCAACAGGGCAACATCAAGCTTGCGACCTCTTTCATTCATTCTCTCCTTCAAATTATTCCATTTGTCATTCATTCTTTCGAGATCCTTTTCAAGACTTGCAGTGTTGACTCCACCAGCTGCAGACTGAATCAGACCCTGGCCCAAGTGGTTGCATTCATCCACTTGCTGTGCCAGGGGCTCAACATGTCGCTGTTGGAAGGCTCTGAAGTCCTCCTGCTGGACTCTGATTCCTTCAACTTCAGATCCAACAGGTTTGAGTTTGCGTACTTGTTCTGTAGCCTGGAACAAAACATCAAAGATACATTAAATGTTTTAAGCGCTCATACTAAGGAGAATTTTTTTTATATATATATATATTTTATTTTTATTTATTATTATCCAACAGGCATATAATGCCTAAATACATTTCATATATACATAGGTTTATACGCTCTTGAAGATTACAAAATATTCGTTTGTCATAAAATAATCATTATCACATAATCATTATAAGATAAGAAATTTAATATTTTGAGTTCACAGTGTAAATGAGTGTTGAATGTATGATGTTGATAATAATGGCAATTATGAAATCGAAACAAAAAGACAAATATATCTCATTATCATCCAATTTATTTCATATTTTGATTAAAAAGAAGGAAAATGATAGAAAAAGGAGAAGAAATATTATCTTGTATTTCTTTTTCATTTTCTGTTTTTACAGAATAAAATGTATGACTTACTTCTGCAATGTCTTCAACCACTGCTGTGTGAATCTGGTAGAAATTTTCAAGACGCGAGAGAGCTGAGTCAAGGTCCTCCTCTCGTGTCTTTGCTCGTTCATCAAGGCGGCCCAACTGACGCCGCAGCTGTTCAACTTGTTCACGCATTGCAGTAGTATCAGGGGCAAACCCTTGGTCAACCAAAAGCTCACCAGCAGAGACTGCATTTGCCACGTCATCAGATGCCTTTACAACCTGAAATAATTAATAGTTTACTATTAAAGAATCCCCAGAAAAATGAAGCAGAACATTTAAGAGTATAGTACAATTTGTGATCCGCAATTACGAATTTTAAATGAATAAAAATGATGTACAAAAGATTAAAACAAATATTGAGAACAATGATTAAAATGCTTGTCAATTTTGTTTATCACAATGTATTAAACAAAAATGAAATTGTACCTACCTTCTTCAAGAACTTAGCAGTGTCATCCAGTTGACTCCTTACAGTCTTCAAGTCACGACCTGGTGGTTTCATAGAATCCAATTCTTGCTCCAAATCAGACAGATCATGGCTCAGCACTTTCACTTGGTCCTATGCAAAGAAGCCACAATAAATAATACTTCATTAGAAGAGTGTAAAATACCCTTGGAAAGTATTTTCAATACTTCAACATACATTGAACTGAGTCACAGCGGTGGCAGCAGATTGTAATTCACTGCAACGATCATCAAGTTTAGCTTGCAAGTCATCCAAGCGATCACCAATAGTATCAACCTCATCTTGTAAGTGAGAAGCATCAACCCCATGCTCTCCTGCTTCATTGACAAGATCATTTGCTGTCTGTCGTACAGACTGAAGAGGCTTTTTCAGAGCATTTGTTTCTTCTCTCAAGTTCTGTAAAAATTACAAATAAACAAATATTGGTGTACCAATTCAATATAATAATACAATACCAATACCAGATATAAACTAGAATAAATAAACGATACCTTAATTCTTTCCAATAACTTCGGATCCTTGGCAGCACCACCAAGTGCATCATGAGAAGCCAATTTGTCTTCACATCTCTGAAGAGAATGTTGCAGATCTCGCAGATTCTCAGTGAAGTCAGATAGTCGACGAGCAGTATCCTCAAGAGATTGAGTACGCTCCAGGAGATCTACAAAAACAAATATTACGATATTAACAAATATAAATTACAGAATTTAACCCTTTGTAATCTTAATACTTTCCATAACACTGCCCCTTCAACTTTCATTATAAATCTCATGTGGAGTGGTCTTGTAGAAAAAAAGACAAGAAATATCTTGTGAGAACAAAACCTAACAATCGTAAATCATCACTCCGCAATTCTAACACCATGCCATTCCATGAACACAAAAAGGAATTATAATGATATGTTCAACGATATTAATTGTCAACTTTCTACAGTCATCTCTCTATATCCAGCTACAAAAAGGTGTGTCTTCTTGTATTGATCCTCACCATTGTTTAGTTTATCCCAACGCTGTTTCATAAGGCTCAGTTCATTCTTCACAACTTCCTTGTCAATGTCACAAGCAGAGACAAATGTGTCTCCCAGAGTGCGGTTATTTTCATACTCTCCTGAACGCTTCCAAACTTCGTTTCTAAAAGAAGCAAGTTCTTTTAACTGGCGTTCAATGTCCTTACGCTTAAAGCTAGCCGGTTTCAGGGTCTCTATCTTATCTTCAGCCTGTCCTAGCCAAGGGAGGAATGATTCTTGGGCTCTGTAATACTTTCGGCAATGTTCCTGAAAGAAAATAATCACAGAATTATTTATTTGCAAACTGTAGTTAGGAAAATATTAGAATGAAATAATGAATACTTTACCATGCACGTTTGAAGACGTGTCTGTCTATCCATGGTGTCCTTTCTAAGGCGATCCCACTGACTCTGGATTTTATCCAAGTCACGCTGAAGATTACGAGTATCACTTCGTTGAGCGGAACGAGACAGCATATCCCTGCCTTTGTTTAATAACATTATCACTTCATGCTCCTTGCTCATTACATCCTTGTACACAGGCTGAAAACAAAATGTTCATAATGGTTTTGAAATGCAAGTGTATACACAATGCTGTAAGGAACAGGCAGGTATTCAAGAACATGAATATATAGATTAGAAAGTAGTGATTATATAGATTAAAAGATGTATATTTATAGAGAAAATAAACTATTCCTCGAAAGATCTTTTATCTCTAATTCACAAAGAATTAGCAATTATAATGTAATTCAAAGAATAGCAACTTAAAACCAAGAAAATTGACTAGAAGAAAAAGAAATGAGTAAATTGTAAAATTCTAAATCACAAGAAATTGGAAGTCATTAAAAAATTGAAAACAGACAATATGGAAACATATTCACCTCGTGATGATCCAACTGTTGTTGAAGGACATCACGATCAGCCGAAACCAACAATCTTTCAGACATGCCTCCCAATTCTTCTGCTAACCAGCCTAAAGTAAGAGCGCATGAAGCCTCAAATTGACGACCATCCCTACAAAAAACAAGCCATCAACATATTAGTATGATAACATTAAGAAATATTGACATTCCTCTATCAAAACACTAAAAACAATAAAATTTAGTTTGTTCTTTCTTTCCTCATTCATAAATCAATTTAATATAGTAAAAGAGGACAAGAATTTTAGAGCTCTTGCACACATTGTACTTCTCCCTCGCATATTGCAAATAATTTTTTGACATTAAACAAATAAATACCTCAAGGAGCCTTCAATTTCTGCTTTGCGGTGGTCCATCTTCTTCTGCAAGGTATTGTATTGTCGCCCGACAGCTGCCAGTTTACCCTGAATCTCTGAACGAGACGCAGGATCACTCAACACTTCACACAACTGAGCACCAGCGGCCTCAGCATCAGCCAGCAAGGGGCGCTGCCCCTCCAGCTGCCTCTCCAGATTCTGAAACAAAGAAGCATATTCTCCAAGCATCTACAAATGAAAAACAATCATAACCTTTAGTATAACGAAACAAGAATTGAAAACTATCTCATACAAAGGGAAATAGAACCGAAGCAAAACAACTGAAGTCAAAAAACTTGTTTATTTATTTCTTAATTTATTTGTTTTTTGAGAATTAAGAACCAAAAAACTGAATGAAAGCCATTTACAGGTGAATAATATCAAATTAAAATTTTATTATTACATTTATAATTATCATTATGATTATTAGAAATTTTTGTTTATTCTATTAATTCTCTTAAAGGGAATATAATTAATTATGTCAATGCCTACAATTAATTTTTCTGTATAATCAGATAGTCCTTAATGGGATAGTAACCAGCTGGGCTTATTGTAAAGATAATTTAAAAAAATAAAATATTAACAAGTTCGAAGAGTTAAAATACAAATAATAATTGAATGGTCATCCTCTATACCAAATTATTTTTTATTTCACTGTAGGTTTCCTGACGCATTTTTACATCAAATCTGATACATGAAAAAACATTTGCCTAGACCTACCTCAATCTTGCGAAGTTGCTCCTCAGGATCTTTGTCAAGTGGGACATCATCCAACTGATCTGATATGCCTTGCAATGCATCCCGAAGCCGGTTGAGTCCTGCATCAAATTCTCGAGAAGTGTCAGCTGCAGCACCAAGGCTGTCGGCTCGTTCTTCAAGGCGAGCCAGTAGATCGGCCCAGCGTTGCAAGAGACTGTGCAGACGGGCAGCCAGGCGCTGTCCATCAGGAGAGTCGGGATCCACTCTGCCGAGCACAGCTTCTCCCAGCTCTTGAAGATGCTGCAGCTGTGGCTGCTGAGTTCGGAATTCTTCACGCAAAACCTACAACAAACCAATAGGAAATATTACATATCACATAAAAATTAAACATTTGAAAGAACTTACAATTCTATTCACACTTTCAATTTAAGAAAACAAATTAATTTTAAATTGTTTTTATTTTGTAATAGGCTCCAGTAAATATTCACATATGTTAAACTTTAAAATTGTTTTAATTTAAGATCACAACCGTACAGCTAGTGTGAATCATGAAATTCTAATCACACTGGATAGCAAACTGAACACAATTCTGGGAATTACTCTAAAGAAAGGAAACCTACATCAACCATATCTCCAATTATTAATTTAAGAACAAAAGCATTTTTCCCCCTTCAATGAACTAGCAACAAACACTAATCTTATTACAAAGGAATCACGTTTTCTAAAAGTCATTCATGCAATTAAAGCAAAATACACAAATTAGGTTTGTATGGCATTTTCTTACCTGAACTTGTTGAACTTGACTCTGCACCATGCGTGAATCAGAAGAAATAGGTCCCAGAACTGTCATCATACGATCCTTGGCACTCAGCCAGTTTGAGAGATTGTCATGTGTGTCATGGAAATCCTTCATGTCCTCCATGAACTTGATTCTTTTAAAATAATGAGAAATAATTTATAAGTTTAATATTCATGAAAAATATACTTTAATTCCCTAATTATTAAGTTATGTCTCTTACTCATTCCAACCCATAAAAATGAATTAGTAATATTCACTGCTCATAAAATTTTACTTCAATAACTTACTAGGAAACATAAAATATATAAATATATATAAATGACTTTCTGATTTATCAAATTTTCCTATATCTATTATTGATCATATTCTATAACTTTTTTATCTTATTTTTTTCCTCTTTCTTTCTTCCTTCCTAAAATACTCGAGGATAAGAATGTTTGTTCATACCTATCCTTGCACCGATCATGAATACTCTTCCATCGGCTGACAACGTCCTTCAACTCATCATGCAGGGTGTCTGCACCCAAAGCTCCAGGTTTCCGCTTCAAAAGATCATTCACCTGAGTCTTTGTGCTGTCAAGAAGTGATTGTTTCTCATACATATCCTCCAGCACAATCTGAAATGACAACATTCATCAGTGAATGTAATTAGAGAATTTTAATCCCAATAAAAATAATAAATTCTAAGATTCGCGAAGTGTAATCATCCACTCAATATCCACTTAATTTCAATAATTAATTTAAAAAACACACACGTTTAAACAATATTTTTATGAGTTTCAAAGATATATTTCCAGAAGAGACTTCCATTAATGTACTAACACCAATTGATACATGATATTACCTTTATCTGTTTGGCAGTCTTGTGTGCATCATCTTTAGTTTGAGGAATAGACTCTTTTGGCAAATTACGTTGTACTTTGTCCAAGAATGAACTAAGGCCACGTAGATTGTCCAAATACTTCTTGACCTCATCGAGGACGTTATCAAGCTCATTTTGTCGATCAGAGAACCGTGCCCCCAAGAGCCCATATCGATTGTTAATCTCCGTCAACTGTTGCTGTGTCGGAGTCATTTCTAGAAAAAAAAATCATTCACTTAATAAGAGCACTGCATTTAAACATTGTACTTGAGAACAATTACTAGCACTGGTCTTTACCTTCCAGATGGAAACCATCCTGGGATGATCGACGACTACTAAATCCACTGGAACCACCCGGAGAAACTGGACTCTGAACTGAAAAGCCACTGGCTTTGGTAGGGGAAGGAGATCTGCCATCTTGAGATGTGCGCCGCACTGACAAAGGAATTTAAATTTCTTCTCTAATCTCTGTACATGAGTTCTCTTTAGCATTCTTATCAAAAATTAAGAATGATAAGCAAGTTAAGCTAGTGTTAATTTCACACTCCCCCCCCCCTCTTTTTAACACTTAAAATGCACAGAATAGGTTAGTGCGCCGCACAATCCAAAAATGTTTTTTTTAACACTATTCATGATTTATCATCTTGTATTACAACCAAAACACAAATTAAAAGAACAGGAGAAATTGGCATGCACATCAAGACTTAAATGAGGCCTCATAAGATTTCTTTTACAATAAAATTTAAAAAAGAGCACACACATGCACCTGATATGATTAATGAAATATAGAAGAAATGAAATTGAAAATATTATTGTATTAATGTAAATTATAAAGAAAAGCATACACTATGAATGTTAAATTAAAAATTCTTACAAGGGCTTGCAGTAACAGATGTTCGCTTTGTTGGGCTGTAAGCTGAACTACGGCGTCTTGTGGGAGATTCAGCTCGATCACCTCTCAGAAGGTTGTCGTAAGCATTTCCCAAGTCATTAACTTTATCAATTGTATTACCATAATCTCTGTACTGCTTTGTAAGGGGCTAGAAGGATAAAAAAGAAAAATGTATTTTCTTTACATTAAAATAAATTCACTAAAATCTACAAGAGAACGTTAACTTCTTGTTATTTTGTTTTTTATTTTGTTTTTTTGTTTTCCAGTATATCTTATAGTTCTACATTTTCTATTATTTCAAGACATTTTCTACAGACTTTTACAGTAAATAAAAATTTAAACAACACAAGTTAATTCCAAAATTTTATAACAAAGCAAATCTTTCATTAAAAAATAGAAATTCACACATACTTTAAGTTCCTCAGTTTGTCGCCTGAGGGTTTCTATTTCCACAGCCACAGGTTCTAATCGAGCAACCCTTGTTTCCATACTACTTAACCAATCCAAAACTTGATCTCGCAACTTTTCGTATGCATTCAACTGTTCAGCTCGAGCCTTGCCCAATTTCTGTTTCTCGTCCAACATGGCATTCAAGTCCTTCCATTGAGTCTCCAGAGCCTGGTTAGACAAAGGAAATCAGTTATGTTCATTTCTCTACAAATTAGGAAGCATTAAAAATGTATCTTTTTAATTATAACAAACTCCATTATTTAAAAATTAAATAAAAACAACAACAAATTAACCTTGATTTTATCACGAACTGGGACAGTATCTGTGACATCCTTTTTGGCAACTAGATTCTTTCCGTTACGCACAACTTCTTCAAATTCACCACGTTTGGCATCTCTCTTTGCAGCTAAATCTTCCATTCTTGCACTGAAGTCGAGGATATCAAGCTTTACAACTTCTCGTGACTCCACAACCTCGACAACTTCACAATACCACTGTTCAAAATGCACCACTTGAACAGTGAAAATACTGAGTGATGAATGGACTTCCTCCAGGAACTCGGTTCGTCTAACTGTCTTCTCTTGAAGTTTCTCAAATCTGCCAAAAAATAAATAAATCAAATTCTCTCTCCAAATTTAAATGAAGTCTTTCTTCAGGCAGGCACAATTACAAACAATTTCCAATTATTACCTGGCAATAACATCATGAAGCTTAGCATCAATTTTTTTGGCAAGGCGAGGATTGCTTGCTGTGGCAACAAGTTCCTGTGCAGATTGGGTGACGCTCTCTACACTTGGACGATGACTATCAACATCACTCTGAAGAAGCCTATGCTCTCTAAGTTGCTCCTCAAGACGTTCTTTACTGAGGCTAGCAGGACGAAGGGAAGATCTGGACAAAGACAAATTAGATTAGTTTCAGCAACAAAAAACAAAAATTTGGAACTACACATATCAAAATAGCACAGCTCAGTTTTTTGAAGCAATATTTGCAATATACTAATAATATCAAAAATTCATTTTCAAATTAAAATAATAAAGAAAATACAATTATTTTAACTGAACATGCAAATAATAAGTTTTTAAATAACTCAAGTCTTCTAAAAGAAGCTTTTCCCCTCAAAAACTATGTAAGGAATCAAAACAAAATTATAATATGGAAACTCAACTCACTTCAATTGATTTTCTGCACCATTCAGCCATTGAACAAGGCTATCCAAGGCATCTTGCACTCCTTGGCACTGCACAAGTGCTGTATCCAATACCTGACACTTCTCTCCAAGAGCTTCTGACAACTGGTTGTACTTGTCTTCCAATTCACGCACTGGGGTTTCCAAAGCTGCTATTTCTGTGGGAGACTGTTGGCCTTCTAAAGAACGTAGCAAGCCTTCCAAAGACTGTAAATAGAAAATGACAACGGAATGCTGGCATGTAAACATTGGTTTTATACCTATTTGTTCCTTTCACATAAACTTACATACAGAAAAGGAATAAAAGCTTTGACAATTTATACATCACTAATTTGAAAGGAGAACAAAGAATGAAAACAAAAACAAGAAATTCTAAATTATCATTCAAAAAGATTGAATGAAAAAAAACTCCAACATAGTGTAACTCACATGTTTTGCAGCATCAACAAGCCTGCCTTGAGCCACAAACTCATTATTTAGAGTCTTTGCCCTATTTAGTTGATCTTCCACTGTTCTTGGATCAGCCCCAACTGGCTCAGAGAGTATCTTGTGAGCTTTTGGTTCCGCTTCTTTGAGCCATGATCTGGCCTTATCTAATGCATCTCTGTATTCTCTCTGACGACCTCCAACACCAGACAGCCGATCAGATAGACCATTCGCTCTTGAAAGAAGGTCTCTGTATTGAGTTGATACCACAGACACTTCATTTCTCACAATTGACTCTTGGGCTGGCTCAATGTGAGGCAAACGCTGAGGCAATGTTGTTCGGAAATCATTTAGATTTGACAGATATTCCTGGAAAATTAAATTGAATAACAACATTTTGAACAATTAATGCAGTTAAAACCACAATTATTCTTACTCAATGGCAATTATAGCTTTACTTTTTCATTTATTAAACAGAAATGGTTTGCTTTTGTGAAGCATATTTAAACTAATGATCAACTCTGTGTTTGATTTAGGCATCAAACTAACTTCAAGGTGTTCTTTTTGCTGTTTCACGTCTTTTGAGACAATCTTTAGTCTTCATCTTTAGCTTGTACCAACCTTTGATTCATCAACGAACTTCTGAGCTGCCATTGTAATGAATCGTAAGTCAGCTTGATGAGCAATAACATCGCTGACAAATTCTTTAGTGCTGTCCGCGTTTGCATGGAGTTTATTGAGATTTGCCAATGATCGCTCTTTGTCTTCAAGAGTGCGTCTGGCTTTGTCTAGCCATGAAGTAAATGATCCCAATTCATTTCTGTTAAGTGAAATAAAAAATGATTTTTAAATCAAAGAAATTCTCATGAACAACATCATCTCTTAATAGAACATCAACTCAAAATATAATTTTTGATGACAATAATGATGATGATGACAAATACAAAAACTTAATCATCAAAAGAAAATAGATACATTCAAGTTATCTTGCCAATCAATAAACATTAAAAAATATCATTTTTCTACCTGAACTTGCTCAGTTCATCACGTGCTGCAGTAAGACGTTTAAGGAGCCTGTCAGTTCGATCTGAAGCTCGATCGTAGCGTGTTTTCAAGGATCGTCCATTCTTCTCCAGGTTAGTAACTTCGTCACTGGAGAGAACATCCCCTCCCGTAGCAACGACCTGCCTTACTTGATCCAAACAGGATGCAACAGGTCGAGAGTGAGATTCCAAGTCATCTTTAATTTGCTAAAAGAATCGATCACACAAAAAAAATTAATTTCAAATAATGATATAACATTCAGTGAAACCTGTATTAAGCGATCACTGTTGGTTCCATGAAAAAAAGTGGTCTTTTAGTGAGATGGTGAGGGGATCTTTATTTTTCACAAAAATAGTATCTACTACAACTAGACCCTAAGTTCTTGACTATCTGAGATGAGCCGCATCTCAATCAATTGTAATGACACTTTGGCCATCTTGCTGTGGCCTTCTTCAGAGCTATACTGCAGCTGCTCTATCAGCAATAGCTCTGAAAAAGGCCTCAGTAAGATGGCCGAGACATCAGCACAATGGACCGAGACGTGGTTCATCTCGGATAGCCAAGAATGTATTGACGCCGGCCACGGAAGCCCATGAAATACTATAACTAGAAATCACATGTTTAAGTAACTGCCTATTATATCGATGTTTATACCAGATGCTATGCAACATAAAATTTTGGTATATGAGCCCTATGGAAAATGAAACATTTGACTAAGTTTAATTTTGCCTTTTTGAGGTAAATGCTTTTTCTTTTTTTTTTAACAACCTTTTTAAATGCAAATAGAAATATTGATATCTTTTTTTGGGTAAAAATTAACTTTTAAATCATTTTCAGTTTTAGTACTCCCAATAGTTGTCTACCAGTAAAGAAACATCTATTTTCTTGCGCAGATTCAATATGTCATTTAGGTATGCATGACATTCTATGTCTTACAAGCTCAAAACCTTGCTTTTCTCCCACTTCTCTGCACAGTTCAAAAAACATCAAGCGATGGATCTTGGGTGACCGCTGAGTTCAAATTCCAGACACAACTGAAACACTCATGAGCTATGGGGAAAGTCGATAATCCTGACTTCTGAAAATAGTATGCTACCACACCAAATTCTTCCAGGAAGGTAAGGTAAGAAAGACTTTGTTAATTTAAAGGACTGGACATTAACAGACAATATACCTGTTGACTCATTACAAGAAATTAAAGTGAAAGAGCGAGCAGCCATGATATCACATCAGTGGCCACAGTTACATGATTCCCGAATTTTACCCGGGATAGGAAGCTGAGGCATCAGACATGTTGCACGAATACGTGGAAATATTTTGATTTCCACTACTGAAAATTCAATGTTCTGAGTACTTACAAGGTGTAAATTAAGAAATTCCTACGAAGGGACTGGTCTTAGAGAGAAAAGGTATGTCTGTTCATAGGGGTATAATAAGAATACTACAAGTGTGTTTCAGAGTCCATTCCAAGAAAAATTGGTCATTGGGAGGGGTGTTCATTTAATAGGGGTGGACTTACAGAGAGGTTTCACTGGACATTTCTTCAGAGGATATCTGATCCTTACGAAAGCAAAAATATGAATTACTTAAAGAACAGGTTTTGCGAAAAAATAAATAAATAAAATAAAAAAACCAACAACATTCTTTAAGTTTAGAAAATGCAATCTGAAATTCTCCACTCTGTCATTTTGACTAATTCTTTATCACGAAGGTGTATTGAAAAGAATTGATAAAATACGCAAATTGAGAGGCAGATATCTTAAGATATAATATATAAAAGTGACTATGTACTATACGTAAAAGAACATGTTCATACTTAGAAAGTATATAATAATTTCAAATGAACATTCTAAATCATCTTTGAATGGTCAACACTTCTAAAAGCACATGACATATGATGAGAATACAAAGATGCAATAGTGAAAGCATTAGCATACATTAATAATTATTAGTTACCTTCATGGTGTTAATTTGGTTGCGAAGTTCATCTGCATTTTCTTGTACAATATCTTGATTTGCCAGTTTATCTTCAACATCACTGATCCATGCCAGTAATTTGGACAAAGTCTCATCACAATGCTTGTACTTCTCCTCAACTGCTTGCTAATCACAGCACAATTCAAAATATGATTAGAACACTGCATATAAAAAGCACATTTCTAAAGGAAAACTCTGCTCACCAAAGCAATGCTATTCCAAAGCTTAAGCCTACTCTCTCATGCCAACAAGTCTCTTTCTCCCAGAATTTCTTTTTCCTATCAATAAAGCTAGCATAAAGCCACACTGAGTCTTCACAAGTTTATAAATTAATGACGGACATATACAGAAAGAATATCTTGTAATAATGCTATAGTACAGCAGAGCAGAGATTTCCTATGAGACACAGAATGCATCAAGTGTACTGGCTAACCTATAGTTCACCAGTATTCTCAAGACAAGTATGTTTTGTCTAACTTGCTCTAAGCTAAAGTATAAGGCAAGAAGGTCCAGCAAAGGAGCCAGAGAAGGCACATTCCACACAAGCCCATTTAATTGTAGCAGCCTTCAAAGCAAACAATGTATGCTCATACTTATCAGTTCACTGAATTATAAATGCCAAATTCCAATAGATATATGATTATTTCCATTCATTTAATTCCGAGAAATCAAACTATGATTTATCCTTAAAAATTTATCAAGTGTGCACAACATTAATTTAAATTTTATTTCTCCTTAAACATTTTGCCACAACAAATATTATTATAGATTTGCTGATGAGATCCAGCAATCCTCTTCTACAGACCCAATGAACTTTGTCAATACACCAGACATGCCTTGTGCAAAATTATAACCCACGTCCCTGACTAAAACTGTGCAAAGTATCAGTGACCTGACACCACTAAAACATTGAAAACTATATACTGTGTATACAGTGCTACCCATAAAAACCACATTATCATACCTGATTTTAAGGTCGTGCAATGCAATTTTTTTATAGCATAATCACTGACAATATTTAGAATAATTATTACAAATTAAGCTGATTCTCAGTCAAAGCACACACACTCATACACACACAAAACGTGTTATGAATATTATGTTTTATGAGAATTAATAATTTAACTAACACTAAAATGGATTGATATCAATGTTAAAATGCTATTACAAATTAAAACCCTCATAAAAAATCAAGTGATGTGACATTGTAAGTTCACTTGTTATACTAAACTAGTATTACTTCAAGTTAGTGATGTTATCGAAATTATTAAGACAAAATTAAAACACATGAAAATTGACAAAATATTTTGATTACACACTATAAAATATTAAAGCTTCAACACAGAATAACCTAAATCAACAAACCATATCAAATTATTACACATCTTAAAATCACACAGAGAGTCATGTACATGAATAAGCAAAACAGTAATTGATAATACATATTCTTGATTTGATATGCATTATACTAAAAAACAATTTTAAACATAATAAACTAGAGGAGAAAAATAACACTATCCTAAACTATTAAGGGATATAATATGGCAAAATCTAAAGCACAAATACATAACATAAAGGGTTTTTGCTGTAAAGAAACACATATAATGATGATACAACTAAACGTAAATCAGACATTTCCAAGCCCTTTATTACTGTTAGCAGGGACTGTTATAATATAGTTTCTGAATTACTTAAATTAAAAACTTAATGTTAGTATGCAAGGAAAAGGGTTAGCATTGCCGAGCAAAATCCAGCCTTCAGCCAAATAAAGTTAATGGGTTTCAGGATTCCATTCCAGTTAGTATCTTTAATGTCTTGCAGCGCAGTTGTAGGGTAGCTTTAAGCTTGGAATGTTTTACTCAATTCATTGTTCATGAGTGGACAAGCAATATACCAGGTCACCGTCTTCCATTATAACATAACCAGCAATTTTTGAGCTAGTGTGCAAAACATTAGTTCATTCACATCCAACATGAAACACCTGTAACTTAGAAAACTGGAAAGAGATTAAAGAATTAAAATTTATGAAGGGATAATGTCTTTCAAAGCACATACAGCACATCACACTCAGAAAAATTAAGAAGATGTATTAAATATTAATGGGGTGAATTATATTCTATTATCATTCTTTAAAAGCATATCACATTAAAAGCATCATCCCAAATGGAAAGAGCATATCTCTAACTTAACTTAGAAATAATTTTCATCATATAAATTAGTATTGGAAGTTTGATGAAACATTTGCATATGTTAGAACTAGAGAATATGCTAAATCCATAGTGTGCCATGCCATGGGCAAGCTTTTTTCAATAATTGTCCTTGCATGGGCAAAAACATTCAGCAGGCACATAATACACAGAAAGCATTGTGCATGCCAAAAACACAATTGTAAGCAGAAAGTGAAACACAGCAACATCACAACTAACAAAAATTGTCAAAGGAGACAAAAATGCTATTACATGTCAAAGTATTCATTCATAAACTATATTGATGCAGTTATTAAATTTTCTGCACTTAAATATCGTCAAAAAGAAGAAGAAGGTCATATGACTGCTCTAAAAAGACTTGTTTTATTTAACAATGATGATATTTTTGGTAAATTCACACTTTAATATATATCTACATACTTTTAAACATATTGTTAGAACTTTCACAAACACTTGATTTATTCAAATTATCCATTGCCATCATTATTCACAATCAAATTCTATGTGAAATTCAAATTTCATTGTCATTATTGAAAAACATGTTAATAAGTGTGAAGTAGTTTCGATTTAAAAGCTAAATTAGTAAACAATAGTCTTATTGATAATAACTAGTATAAAAAAATCTTTGACAATTTTTGCAACATATAAAAAGAACTGAAAAGTTCTAAAATACACTTGAAGGTGATACTTACCCTTGCCTCGGCAGCAAGAATGTAGCCTCGTTCCAAAGCTTTGAGAAGGTCAATACTCTTTCCAGTTGATGACTCCAGCATTCGCCCAGCTGTAGCATCAACAATTTTGTTGACAGCAATGGCATCAGGAAGAGAAGAAATGTTGCCTGTAGCTGCATCCTTCACAACAGTGGTGGATGGGTCAATCAGACCCGACTCTATGGCTTCTGACAGAGTCAACCTACGCCTATCAATAACACCAGTGGAGAAAAAGGGGTCCATAAACCCACCTGTTGTTGGATTATACAGACCAAACTGTAAACCTTCAATGAGAGAGAGTCCACGGCGAGGGGTAGTTAATAGCCCAGATTCTATAGCAGCAGAAAGAGAATATAATCTTGAAGAAGCAGAATCCAGAACATTTCCCTTTTCTGCATCCATTAAGCCCTTCCTAAATGCTTCTGGAAGTTTCACAAGTTTCTTCTTCTGACTATCTTTAATCAAAGCTGAATCAGGATCAATAAGTCCCAGAGACACAGTTTCCTTCAAAGTAAGAACTTCTTTAGACTGTGGATCTGTGAACTTGCCAGTTGTGATGTTCAAATGGCCTTGTTCTATAGCTGCATCAAAAGTCAGTGGTTCCCGAAGGAAAACCACAGTTCCTTGCTCAAAGATGATGCAGAGAGGTTTCACCTTTCCAGTCTGAGGATCAAAAGCAGCTCTCTTATTCAAATCAATTACTCCATCTACAATTGCTTTCTTCAGAGTTCGGAATCGTCCAGTCTGGGGATCTTTTACAACAGCTGATTCTGGATCAATCAGTTCATATCTAATGGCTTCTTCCAGTGTACATTCTCGCATTGTTCTAGGATCTTTGAAAGTTCCTCTTTGGAAATCTATTGAACCACGCCTAACTGCTTGTTGGAATGTAATTGGTTTGTCTACAGTGACAATTAACCCTCTTTCCAAAGCAGCATCAATAGGGTACGCCCGCTTTGTTTTGGGATCGGTGATACGCCCGCGTGGAACATCAACTGACCCATCTTCAATACCCGAATTAACACTCTTTAACTGACCAGTAATAGGGTCTTTCAGAGCTGAAGTATTTGCATCTATAAGCCCATGCATCAAAGACTGTGCAATGTCTAATTGGTCACCTACATCAGGATCAATGAATCTACCCAGTTCAGGTCGATATAATCCACTCCTAACAGCTTCTTCAATGGACAAAGGTTTGCGAGCAGTTACAATTAATCCCTTTTCCTTTGCTTCCTTCAAAGTTAATGTCTGTTGTGAGTGGGGAATATTATACACACCTTTCTCATCATTAATTAATTTAGTTTCAGTAGCTTCGGGTAATTTCATATACTTACCAGTTTTGGAATGTTTTACAATGGAAGTGAGTGGATTTACTAACTCCTCTTTGCATGCATCACTCAAGGTTAATTTCCTTCCAGTGGAGGGATGGACAAAGCGTCCAGTATCAGAATCATAAAGACCCATGGCAATTGCCTCATACAAACCAAATCCTGCACTTTCTATATCCACAATAAGCCCCAAATCCATTGCTTCTGACAAAGATACTGTACAATTGGCACCAGGTTCCTTGAATGTTCCCGCACGTCTATCTATAATACCTCCACGACACGTTTCAACAAGGGAGAGTAACCTTTCTGACTTTTTGTCCCAATAACAAGGTAGTTGTGGATTTATGATGAACCTACGAATTGCTTCATGTAATGTCACTTTACGGCCAGTGTTTGGATCTGTGAATTTTCCAGAGGTATCATCATACAAACCTTGGTGAATTGCTCTCTGAACAGAAACAGCAGCTTTGCTGTCAATTATTAACCCTGTGTCAAAAGCTTCAGTGATACTAACTTCAGCATTGTCTCGTGTGAAATCTTTTACTTTAGCAGTTTCTCCATCTACAAAACCTAATTTAATAGCTTCAGCAAGTGAAAGTTTTTTCCAAAAGCCACTCCTTGTATCTTTAACATGAACAGAATCAGAATCTATCAGATTATTTTCTACTGCATACGCAAGAGTAACATACTCTCCTGACGCTGGGTCTAGGAATAGTCCCTTTTCTTCATCAAACACACCCTTCATTAATGCTTCACTTAAAGTCATAGGTCTTCTAACTTCAATCAACAAACCTTGTTCAAAAGCTTCCTGAAAATCAAGTTTACGACCAAACTTACCAGCACCTGCAATAGTACCACTTCTCGAATCTACTATTCCCTCTTCCACAGCATTTCCAAAAGTCATTACTTTGCCAGCACTATCTTTCACAAGAGTCGATGCAGGATCAATAATACCTCTTCGAATTGCACGATCTGTTGGAAGTTTTTCTCTAGTTTCAGGGCTAGTGAACTTTCCAGATTTAGGGTCGTAAAATCCTTTGAAAACAGCTTCTGGCAAAGAAAACTTCCTTTTAGCCGGTATTATCAGACCCCTTTCTAATGCATCAAAGAAATGCATTTCAGCACCATTTGTTGGATCAGTAGCTGTTCCAGATTTAGGATCAATAACACCAATTTTTATAGCTTCACCTAGTGTAATGATATCTCCAGATCGTGGATCTTTCACTGTCAGAGCATCTCTACTTATTTCCCCACGTCGCATGGCCTCTTCTAATGTTATTCGTTCACCCTCTCCATTAATGATCATTAGACCAGTCTTCGGATCGTAACATCCTTGAGCCAAAGCTTCTTGCAGAGACCATGGTTTGCGTGTTGTTAAAAGGTAACCTTTTTCAAAGGCCACATCCAACGTCATTGGTGATGGATAAGTTAACAAACCTTTCTGAGTATCAAGCAAACCTGATATAGCTGCATCCATAACAGTAACAATTTTATCCTGATGGAGGTCTTTCACACGAACTGAGGTACAATCAATGAAACCACAGTCAACACCTTCTTGAAGAGTGACTTCTTCTCCAGATGCAGGATTTGAGAACTTTCCAGTCCTTGGAGAGTAATATTCTTGAACAATTGCATCAATAAGGGAAATGCTGAACTGATTAGTAACTATTAGACCTTTGTCTAGAGCATCATCAAGAGTCAAGAGTTGTCCTGTGAAAGTATCACGCATTTTTCCATTATTTGAATTCACTAATTTTGTTGTCAAGGCATCATCAAGAGAAACAAAAGTATCTGCTCGAGTGTCTTTGCACTCTGTGACAAAAGCATCAACCAAACCTCTCTTCACAGATTCCTCAATATCAATGCTGTGTTTTGTCAATGGATCAGTTATCTTTCCAGTCTTTGAATCATATAAGCCTTTACGTATCACAGCTTCAAGAGATACAGGTTTACGAGGTCCTGCAACCATATAACCTTTAAGGAATGCTACTTTAAATTCTACTTCCGTACGAGTGTCAACATTGACAATAACCCCCCGATTAAGATCAACAATTCCTATTTCTACAGCTTCAGACAAGGGAAGAATGTCATCATTTTCTGGATTTCTAATGCTTACAGAGTCAGGATCTAACACACCTGCTTTCAATGCTTCAGCAAATGAGAAAGTTTCACCAGTCTTTGGATCTTGAATTTCACCAGTCTTTGGATTGTATAAGCCGTCTTCTACAGCTTCTTGCAGAGACAAAGTTGGTTTGGGTTTCTTTGGCACTGCTGGCTTAATTTTTTGTGGTTTTTCTACTATCCATCCCAACTTCACAGCTTCAAAGAAAGGCACTCGTTTTCCAGTTCTGGGGTCAACCATATGGCCTGTATATTTGTCGAGAAGAGGAATTTCTAATGCCTCACGAAGAGGAACAAATTGCTCAGGTTGACTTTCCAAGTTTTTCACATGAACTTTTTCAGGATCAAAAACAGCATAACGAAGAACAAGATCTTCAAATTTCAGAGGTTCACCAGTTTGAGGATCAATAAATCGCTCTGAATTTGTGTCATACACACCTTCTTCAGCAAGATCTTCTGCATTAAGATGCTTAGTAACAGTAACTCTATATTTTGTTTTTTCATCAACCAATCCCACTTTTGATTTGCCCAAGAGTTCCACAACAGCACCTGGGCCAATCAAATAAAGGTCAAGAGCTTCCTGAACAGTCATCTGTTTCTGTCCAGATGGTGTCTGGACTGTGATGATACAAGTCTCAGGATCAATATGTCCTGCTTTGATTGCCTGTTTCAGAGGAATGACATCACTAGGTGATACGTCTTTACTGGGAGATGGTGTTCTTGCTTTTGTCTCAATAGTAATAGTGGCACTTGGTTTTTCTTTCTCGGGCGATTTTGATGGACTTTTCTGCCTTTCAGGTGATTTTCTAGCCTTTTCTTTTGTTACAACTTGTTCTTCCACAGGCTTTGACACAACTGATTGTAAAATTGGTCCTTTTTCTTTTGTGGGGCTTGGTGATTTGCCATCCTTTTCCGGACCCTTCTTCTCCAGCCTTGTCTTCAGACCTTTTACTACATCAGCAACAGCCATTCCAGCAAGGACAGGAGCACCTACAAAAGCAAGTAAGCCCATCTTGGCTGCTTCCTTTACATTTACTGTCACTCCTGTCTTGCGATCCTTCACCCTTCCAGTTTTAGGATCAATCAGACCCTTTTCGACTGCTTCGCGAGTGGTAACAGGTTTTCCACTACTGACATCATACACAACAGATTCTGAATCAATTAAGCCTGCATCCAAAGCTTCTTTGAATGTGTATGATTTGCTAGGAGAATTTGGATCTCTAAATCTCTTCGTCTTGTCATCATACAATATTTCATATGCCTCCATTATATTGAACTTCTTTTTCTTTTTAGTTGGTGATTTTCTTGGATCTTCATCTACAGAACTTGTTGTAGCATCAAGAAGACCATCTTTAATTGCTTCAGCAATTGGCATGGTTCGCCCTGTCTCAGGATTAGTGTATGTTCCAGCTTCTAAATCAATCAAACCTTGTGCAATTGCATCAGAAAATGACATCTTAATTTCTCTTGTTGTGAATTCTTCTTTTGTTTCTGATTCATCTTTCACAATTCCTCTCTTTCTTGCTTCTTCTAAAGGAATAATTTCTCCAGTCTGTGCATGTTTCACTTCATTTGGTCCAATTAAAATGTACCCGTGTTTTAATTCAATAGTTTTTGTTGTAATAGTGTGATAACTAGTTACTGTTTCAGTTACTGCTGTAACAGTCCCACTTGGTTCATACGAAACTAATTGAGGTACTGGTTTGATGACTAGCAAGCCACTTTCCACTGCCTCTGTGACTGGAATTTCTTCACCTGTCTTAGGATTTTTGAAAGTTCCTTTTTCACTGTCAATCAAATTGCGTTCCAAAGCTTGGATTACTTCAATGCTAAATGGTGATACTGGATATGGTAAGGACATTAAGAAATCATTCTTTATAGCAGACTCAATAGGAATTCTTTCTCTAGTTACAGGATGAATAATTTCTTTCTTCACAGTATCAATAAGTCCTCTTCTTAGGGCAACAGGGAATGTCATACCAGCTGGAGGCAAATCCTTAAACATGGTCAAACTAACTGCTGTAGAAGGTTCAAATACTTTCATTTCCTGTGAAGCTTTCAGCAAATCAACAGTCCCCTCTGGTGTCTTAACAATGCACTGATCTTCATCGACAGCTCCCTTTGCAATAGCTTCTTCCAATGTGACTTTATCTTTTACTCCAGGAATTGCAAGTTTGGACAAAGGATCCACAATTTCACACATAATGGCTTCCCTCAAAGAAAGATGAACTCCGGTTTCAGGATGAACAATTTTACCTGCTCGAGGGTCAATGAGACCCTGGTCTAGTACTTCAGGAATTGACAAACAACGAGCAACTGGAACAAGAAGACGAGCAGATGGACCAGAAGGATCCAATATGCCCCTATCCATTGCTTCTTTTATTGTTAAAATATCACCTCGCTGAGGATCGATAATAGCCCCTTTATTTCCATCCACCTTCTTCAAACCTACAGCTTCAGCAAGACTCAAACTTTCACCAGCCGATCCTGTAAAAGCATCAGGCTTTTCTAAAATGTCCGCAGTTTCTTTATCGAGCATTCCATTTTCAACTGCTTCACGAGGTTTCACTATCTTCTTACGCATTTTTTGCAACACAACTGGTTTCGCTTCTCGTTCAGGACTCTGTGAAAATGATCGAGCTCTTCCAATTGCAACTCTGTATTTGGGCTCCATGGTTACTCTGCCTCGAGTCCTTTCGCCAGCTGAAGGTCTTCCATCATCTTCTAGTGATATTGTTGTTGTGTCTAATATTTTAACTGGCCGGCCCTTTTCATCGACCCCCTCTTGTGTAGTTTGCACTGTCAACCGTTTCAAATCTTCGGGCCCAATAAGACCCTTCTTAATGGCTTGCTCCACAGTTATGTCCTTGCCTGTAGTCGGATCTTGAATAACAATAGATGTGCACACAACTTCATTTTTTGTTGTTACAACTTGTTCAGGAAGAGTTCCATCAAAGTTTTCTGTTGCTGATTCTATTCTCTGCAAAGTTTCTTCATCAATAATTCCTTGCTCATAAGCCAACCTTACAGGAATTTCTTCACCTGTTTTGGGATCAAGCACTTTTTTGATTGTTTGTACTGTTTTGACGGCAGCCACAAGTGGCGCACCCAGCACAGCAATTACACCAAACTTGGCAGCCTCAGCTAAGGGAATCTTTCTTCCTGTCTTATCTTTATAATCTCCTGTGTCCTTATCAATGAAACCCTTTCTTAAAGCTTCGTTAATATTTAAACCCTTCCCAGTGTAAGGATCTTTCACTTTAACCATTCTAGGTTCAATTTTTCCTTCTTTCACAGCAGCAATTAGATTTTCAGATTTTCCAGATTCAGTAAAAATTACTAAGGCTGTAGTGGGATCGTATATTACACCTGGAGCAACCTGAAGTGGTTCTAGATTTGACACATCTGCCTTGGAGCTTTTAATTTCCGTGAAAGTTGGAGGACCAACAGCACCACTCCCCACATTTGATACTTCAACTAAATCAGGCTTACCTGTCACTTTTGTAATCTGAATGAGACGAGGAGAAGAAGGATCTTTTTCAGTTCTTCCTTCTAATAGGACCAATCCTCTATCAATTGCTTCTTTCATTGTCATCTTCTTACCTGCTTGTGTGTAATGACCTGTTGAGTCCAAAACATGTTTGTCCAAACTTCTTATAACTGAAATTTTTCGGTTGTTATTAGGATCAATCACAATCGCAGAAGCTGGGTTAATAATTTCAAGCTTCACACACTCTTCAAATGACACAAGTCGGTCAGTCCCAGGAATGATGAACAGACCAGTCACAGGATCAAATAACCTCTGTTCAATAGCTTCAGAAAGCAGCCAACCATCTGGTGGGAGTTCAAATATTTGCTTTTCCATTTCTGTTGCTTTCCTCTCACTACTCAAGAAATCTGCTGATTCTCTTTTTCTTGATGGAGACAACTGGGAATCATGAATAGACACAGTTACCTTGTTTGATGAGCTCATGAAAGCAGTGTCAGTAGCATCCATAAACTCAGGAGATGAAGATGTTTCTTTCTGTTTCGGAGATGAAATACCACGTTCTGGTGACTTCTTCTCCTTCGTGGGAGAAGATACTTTACGTCCAAAAGGGTCTGATGTCTTTTCTTTTGTCGGAGAGGATGGACCTCTTGATTTCACAGGTGAACTACCACGACTTCCTTCAAGTGTGACATCTTTCACAGGGGAAACACTTCCAGAAGATCTGCCCTTTACAGGACTTGTTCGATCCGATGAGCTTTCTTTAGTGGGAGTACTGCTTCCAGGGCTGCGATAGGAAGCAGGTGTTGCAAATTTATCAGTGGATGGAGAGCTTGAGTCAACTGACCTTTGCTTTGTAGGTGAAGGAGTCTCACTGGTTCTTTGTCGGGTTGGTGATGGAAGCTCTGTCGTTACTTCTTTAACAAAAGGTGTAGTGTCAGACTTACGTTTTGTAGGAGATTGAGAACCAGATGGTTTTGATGAAAGAGAACTTTCATCTGTCGGATCACCAAGAAGACCTTGATCAACTGCATCTTGAATGGAAATAATTTTGCCTGTTTCTGGAACACGGAATGTCTGAGTTCTCTGATCAATAAGACCACACCTTAATGCTTCAGTAAACGTCATTGTCACTTCTGAAGTCACGCCACTCGATGTCACTGTTATGTACCTCTCAATTGTTCTTGTCACTGTTTGGGTAGTCACAGTAATTTCTAGCAGACTTGCAAGGAGAACAGCACCTTCAGCAGTTATCAATTTACGTCGCACAGCTTCATCCAATGGCAATGGTTTTTTGGTTTTCAAATCAAGAACTTGCCCAGTTTTGGGATCGATATAACCTTTAATGACAGCTTCAAGAACTGTCAGTTCCTTACCTTTATCGGTGATGCCAATTTTCTTGTTTAACATGTCTAGAACTTCTGGACGAACCACATTTTGTTTCTCTGCTTCTTCCATTCCTATACTTTTACCTGACTTAGGATCAATTACATACATAGCTACACCTGATTTAGGAACAACAAAACCTCTGGACAATGCAATATTAAGACTCACAAATTCATTACTATTAGGATCTTTAAACCCATCAATATCAAAAATAGACTTTATTGATACGGAAGTAATAAGGCCCCTATCAACTGCTTCTGGAATGCTTAAAATTTCCTCTGTCGCTAAATCACGAAATTTACCTTCGGGTAATATGATACCATCTGTAATAGCTTCAGATAATGTTAACAACTCCCCAGTAGAAGTATTAGTCACAGATTTGAATGTATTTAAATCTAAGACACCACGAGACATGCTCTCTAAGATAGAAAGTTTTGATGTGTGAATGGGACTTAAAATTCTACCAGTTTCATCTAGCAACTCTAAATCGCAACAGTCTTTTAGTGTCATGGGCTTAATAACAAGTTGCCGCCTACGTGCCTCTCGGAGAGGCAGTACCTCCTGAGAAAGACCATGTAAATATTTACCTTGTTTAGGATTTAAAATACCTGCATCTATAGCTTCAGATACTGTCACTTTGTTGTCAGCGGGGGTATCCACAATCTCACGAATAGTGGGATCAATTACTCCTTTCTCAATGGCTTGGGAAAGAGGGTATTTTTCACCAGTATTTCGATCTACTATCTGACCGCTACGATCATCTACTAATCCTTGAACAATAGCATCAGATAATGCAAGTCCACTGCCAGGCTTCTTTTCTTTAATTTCATCTTTTTCCAACAAATTACGCAAATATGCCTCCTGTAATGGCATAGTCTCACCAGTTTTGGGATTTGTAAACTGTCCATTTTCAGTATTGATATAGCCTTTGGCTAATGCTTCGGCAATGCTAAGACCCTTTCTTTTAATATCCGTATACGTTACCTTCACCCTCTCATCAGTACTTGTCGAAGTGATGAAGCCTCTTTCTGCATCAAAAAGCTCTCGTTGGATTGCTTCGAGTAGAGAGAGCTGCCGCCGAGTGTTGCCATCATCTTCAATTATTCCACACGGTCCCAAAAGACGCTGAGCCAGAGCAGGATTCACGATGTTCCTAGACGCTGCTTCTTCGATGCTCACGGCTGGAGTGCGGCCATCTGCTGAAGTTGCTATCTGTCCCGTTCTGACATCAAGAATACGAAGGCTTATGGCATCACCAACAGTCAGTATTTCACCAGTTGTTGGATGAACTATTCCTGGAGTGTCAATGATGTTGTCGGTCCCAATTCCTTCTTCTACTTTGTGAATTCTCCTCAGGGAACGAATTTCTGAGAATTCCATACTACTACCAGCCCAATTGCTAGCTGATTCCTTCCTTCCCAAGACAGTCTCGCCATTTGTAGCAACTGGAGTAGTAGAAAAGTTGTTTGTTCCAGGACCTGAAGCATTCGTGACATAAGCTTCATTATCTGTTTTGGACCGCTTCTTCGTTGGAGATCCTTCATGATTGTTAGAAGTTGTCACTGTAATAGTAGCTTTTGATGTTGGGTGGAATCCTCCATCAAAAGCTTTTCCAGAATCGATGACATCATGTGATTGGTGAACATACCTAACAGCAAAAACTTAATTAAATATACAATGTACAATAGATTAATTAAAATACAATAATAACAACAACAATAATAATAATAATAATAACAATAACAACAGTAAAAAGTATTAATAATTTAAATATAAAAACTCACTGTGTTGAAGTGATTTGACTAGTAGAGTAATGTGTCCTTGTTGTAGACGATTCTGATTCAAAGATATTGAATTCTGTACGGAATGTTCTCATCTGTCTTGGCTCCATCTGAGACACGAGGAGCTGAGGAAATGAATGAAGGAAGCCTTTCATGAGCATCTTCAAAATTTATTCCAGCAAAAACAGATTTGTTTAATTGAGCACAGTGGCAAATCATTGTATGAAAATCAATAAGAAAATGTTTGCTTCTTCATTCAGATATATTCACCAAAACATGAGACCCCATTGAAATAAAAAAAAAAGTTTCAAAAACACTTCACTGGAATACTCTACCCAATCAAGAAATAAAAATACAACATACTCATTTATAAGATATAACAATGAGCAACACTGTATTAAACTTGCTTGCTGTACAACATAACCTAAAATATTCAGTTTCCAATTACTATCTCAGAATGAAAAACTAGGAAAATGAGCATGTGACATGAGTAAAGTCACAAAATATTTCCCACAACATCAGAGATAAAAAAGAAAATTATTAGTGAAACAAATTCAGCAAGTATGTCCAATAGCCAATGCTAGTTGCATAACACTGACACAACTCTGACTTTGAGGAGTATTTTCTGTTCAACCAGAAATAGTCATGAACTCATATGCAAACAAGACTCTTTTTTTTCAAGTGTTGATGAGATAGTATAAACACCATTTCCAAATAGTAAAAACAGTTAGTTGCCAATGAACATCTCACAGTATAGGAATGAATAACACAAAACAATATTTCTCTCTCCAACATAACAACAATGTTGGTAACCACAGAAGAAATTAATTAAATGATTTCAAAAAGAAAAATCTCTAGAGCAGTTCATAAATAACCATTTCTTCATAGCAGAATAGATGAAAAACAAAAACTACAAAATTTTGACTATAAGAGAGAAAGATAATGTTCTAATACTCAATTTAAAGTTAAAACAAGAAGAAAAGAAAATGAAAACAAATTCTTCACAGATTCTCCTAACTCTGAAAATTCAACATATCCTCTGAAAAAAAACCTGAATCATCTGTTACAATCTCTAAAAGAAAGCACTAATCTTCACACTTTCTCATCTGTCACAAGAATTTTTCCTAGCACCTAAAAATGCTGAAGATAAGGCAGAGATAAGACAAATCAATCTGTAATACTAACCAAGAATCTTGCTCACTTGAGAAACAAGGTCAGGGACCCACTATTATGAACCACCAAGTAAAGATGAACACTCAGTAAAGAGCTCTTTCCCATAAGCACCTCACTTGAGCAAGATCTCCTGAAGAACTGAGGCACCACTCCTTCAGCTCAGCCGGCCTCACAAGATGCAGTGTGTGGGTAGACCAGACTCAACCTGGTTACCCTGAGCGACCTTTCTCCCCACCACTGCCTCACCCCACCCATCTCCTTACTGTCCCTCTGCAGACATGCCACAAGACCTCTCTTGCTTCTGGTAATGATGTTGTCATCAGAGTTATATTAACTCACTTCGTTATCTTGCTATCACAATTTCCAGAAAAAATAAAATAAAATACAGGGACATCTACCCAAGCTAACATCATAGCTGGAAATAATTATTCTAGCATCACATGCATGATTAACAGAGTTTTTCCATACAAGCATCTTTTTCTTAGAAAGAAAAAGGAGACATCTGATAACCCAGTTGTAGATAGGAAGTGTACATCCTGGTCATAATGACTCATTTTTATTCTCTAGTGACCTTCACCTTCAAAAGCCTCCAATGCCAAAAACACAACAAACTAAATTAATTTATGATGTCTACGAACATTTTGGAAATCCATTGTAAATTAAAAATAACATGTTCTATCACAAGAATGATTTTAAGCACCGAAGTGTGACATTTGAAGAGACAAAATAACTGTTTTTATATTCAGAAATAGGGACTATAACAGCATCTTTTTCAAAACCAAGAAAATTGGCTCTGTAACAGGATCATTCTTAACAGAAGAGGAAACTTGTTCAGTATTTTCCAGGATCTCTCACCGAGATTCCTCCCAGCACCCTCTCTGAGGACATAAATGGTAAACTCAGAGAGCCTCATAAAGTGACTCAAGGCTAGCAAGTGGTTCTACCCACACACACACAGAGTCCACTGTCATTGGACCAACCTTCCTTTGCTACCCACACGCTGAGGCTTCTCATTGGCTGCAGGAAGAGGCCTAGAACTGCCTGCAGCCCCACCCACAGAAATCACACATTCAGACATCCACTCCTCTCTCACTTGCATTGTGCAATACACCTTTTTAGAATACTGCTCTCATACTTCAAGAATTTTATTTCCACATTTCACCTTCCCCAGTGGCAAATCACAATGCTTAGCTTTTGAAGTTGTAAATGACAACACTTTAAAAACTAAATATTTTGTTTTCAGAACGGCTAGCAGAAATCTTGTAATTATGATCCCCTCTCAATGCCACATGTGCCAGAAGAACAAAAATTAAAATGGACTATTTCATAAAAATTCTCATTGTCAACTGACTAATTCATTGCCTATTCTCATTGTCTTTTATGAAATATTAGTGTTTCTTTTCCTTAAAGCATGGTCAAAAGTGCCCAAGCAAAAATAAGGGGGGGAGAGCTCAATCAGAGAGCTAACAGCATCTGCTAATCTTAACACTATTTTAAGAGCACAGGTATCCTCTAATATTAAAGGCAATAAATTCAAGTATTATTTGAAATATTGTCTGTAATGTTAGAAATTACCACTGCACATAAAAATATACAACATATAGACAAACACTTTTAGTTTCCTACCATAAATGTTTTTAACAAAAAGAACATTAATACATTTTGAATTTCAAAAGAATATTCAAATGAGAAAATAAGACTTTTATTGATGCAATATTCAGATTTAAGAGTCACTTTTGAATGTTGTTTCAACATTTTGAAAAATCTGGTTTTTCATGTAAGCACTTTTAATCATACAGTAAATTCCTCTTCTTAAAATTTTTGACAATTGAAACTTTTTCATTACTCTTCCTTCCTCATATACATTGATTCACTGTGAAAATAACAGAAATTGGAAGTCTACCATACTTCTTACCTGAAGGGCAGGATCTTGAGGGCAGAGAGCAGCAATCTGCCGTAGGCGATCATACAAAATGCCCAAAAGAGCCTGGTACCGATGGTTGAGGATGTCCAACTGATGGGCGACGGTATCAGCTCCTGATAGATGTTCTGCTCCATTATTTGCCAGGCGTGCACGTTTCGCCATGCTTGCATCCAGGCTGGGGTGCACTTCTTCCACCAGCCAGTCCGCGTAGCGTTGGAGGCGAAGGTCGTAAATCTGTTGCGATTGAAGGGGTTAGGGTTAGATTAGGGTTAGTTAGATTAGTCACGCAAACATTATGAACTACAAGAGAACCCAGTCCACAACCTACTATTGGCATTCCTGCAGTTTTTCCTCTCCAACTGTATAGGCATGCTGAAGGTGTACCATCACCAGACTTACTTACCAATACCATGAAATGAATTTCAAAGGAAATTCATGCACTACCTTCACATTATCACGTAATATCTTAAAACAATTTAGATCATCCAATATACATTGTCAAATACAAAAACAGAAGTATTTCTCATCTACCTTCAATAGAATGCTGAATTAGAAGATCAGAATACTAGGAAATACCATCACCCAATTGAAACTTAACACTTCACTGAATAAAAAATAATCCCGGATAAAATGAAATATTGAAGAGGTATCGGCTTCAGCTAGATTACTAAAAGAAAAACAACAAATTATCAACATTTTGTTTATTTATTTCAGTGGAAATACTATTCCACAAAAAATTTAAATAAATATTTTTAAGGAATTAGTTTATTTGAATAATTTATGGAGTATTTTTTTAAATTAATTCCTATAAATTTCATATTAATGATGTTATTTTATTACTTTTTTATTAAAGTTGGTTATTTTATTATAGCAAGAATTTTCATGAAATTCTTATTATATTTACTCACTGAAGTGCAATTGATAAAGAAGTATGTACAAAAATATTTACAGGATCTTCAACACACACACACATACAGTCACACATTCTTCCCTATTCCTAAATTTTCAAATCCTACACCACCATCATGAAGGATTTACACTTATCCACAAATAAAGTGTACAAATGCCATTTAAATTACGCATGGGATTGAAACCTGCACAAAGCAACCAATTGCAGTGTTCAAACAGTAAACTACATGCCTATTTTGAACACTGTGATTGATGAATACCCTGAAAACTCTTCATGCAAGGATCAATCACTTTTTTTTATTTAAGGGCCTAATCAGACAACAAATCCCACAGACCTTCCCATAACACCTTATCACTAAAATCGCTTGCAAATACAAAGAGAGAAAAACGGAGAAAAGAGGTAACAAAAAGTACCTGTGAAATACCCACACTGCCTAGGTCATACCTTTCTTAATCAACCCCAATCCCAATCTTACCTTAGCCTCTCGGATGAATCGTCCTCCCACTAAATTCACTTGTTCAATGGCAGGTGTCTTCTCAAGAACATTATTGTACAGAGCCTAGAATTTATAAAAACAAAAAAGTTAGAAGGGTCACAAAACAGGCAATAAATCTGTTTGACTTATCCTTACAACTACAACTACTTGTTCAGAAAATCCAATAGTACGGCATGCTATCCATTTATCCCTTCACCCTCTTCCTCTTTTCAATTTTCTTTATTTACAACTTATTCGATGAAAAGCTGATAGATTTTTAAGCATACCCTAGTTGGTTCTAATTGTTCCTTGGCATGATCTTCAATAGGAGCCAAGTTGTTCAATTTGCCATAGCTTTCATCAACCCAGGAGACTTCCGTCTGGTAGGAATTGGTGTAGTTTTGCAGCAGGCCATAAGATGCCTCACAGCTGCGCAACCTGCCAAACAATATCCAGAAAACGATTTACAAATAACATAGTATTGTGAGAAATTCAAAGAGGTGTATTTATAAAGAATTTTTCAATAATGAACAACATGGATATTTCTATATGATTCCAAAGGAATTCACTTCACAGCAAAGTTATCCAAAAAGAAAGATATACCAAAAGTAATGTGTTAAAAAACATCTTACTGTGAAAAGTACAATAGATGCAGATATATGAATACAACAACACCAACCAATAAAAAGAGGGTTGTTTACCTGTCAACAAGCTGGTTGCACACGTTGCTCCATCTGGTTGTGATCCGCTTAACGTCTCCTTCGAGTCGCTCAACGTCGGGGTGGGGACCCCTTTGACTGGGCCGAGATTTCTCAACCAGACGACGTGCATTATGGGCATCATCATTCAACTGATCAATGACTATTTGCTGCTGTGCCACTGAATTTTGCAAGTTCAACAGATCCTCATGCACCTGTAAAAATGCATGAAAACAAAAATACAGTAGTCAAAACAGGGCCAGAGTAAAGAAAGTGAAGAGTAAAAACAAAATTTGTTAAATGCTTCACAATTTAAGATTTTTATTCCATTAAATGAAGTAGTAGCTGTAGTTTCACCTTATAATGAAAATACCATTCTAGAATAAGATACTTGAAAAATACGTCAAAAAAAATTTCTTTTTTTTTTTTTTTTTTTTTGACATTTAAAAATAAACTTCAACAATTCAAGTGATTTTTTAATAAATACATTACAATAATTTAATATATACCACTATTTTTTGTGTTTGTTCATATTTCATTAAATGTATCAGTGATAAGAATTTATTACTTTCTAAAGAATATATACAAACAACTTATTAATTCTTGTAACTTAATCCCAAATATAATTACACCACTGAAGTTTATACTTACTCTCTTGAGAGCTTCGACATCAGAAGGTAGTTCATCATAGGAGGCAAGTTTCATTTCAAATTCTGACACAATATTAGTTGCTTCCTCAAGACCAGAAAGAACAATTTCAACACACTTCAACCTAAAAAATTGAAAAATGAAGTAAGACATATAAGAAAATAAGAATTTTAAAATATCAAAACTAATTTTTCCAGATACCTAAACCTTAAAAATCAACATAATATAAATTCAAAGAAAAATATTTTCAGACTGAAGTCACATCTTTTGATAAAGTTATTTTGCAGTATATGAAAATATAACAAAGCACTCACCTCTCTATGTACAAATGAGATGTGCTCCACAATTGGTTCCATTTGGCCAAACACTTGTCAAGTTTAGTCTGCTGAGCAGGGGTTTTGCGTGCAATACTGCGGAATGTAGCCTGTACATCTTCTACATCTGGACCCAGGGCTTGAAGACGAGTTTCAAACTCTTTGTGTTCTATAACCAAATGTTCAAGAGAATCTAGATCTCTTGGCAATGCAGCAGCAGTACGCGAATTCAAAATGCGTTCTGCTTCATCAAGTGCAGATTGAAGATTACTGATCTGATCACTGAAGTTTCGGCTGGCATTCTTGCTGTCTTCTGCAATTTTATAACATTTTATTATTACTAATAGTTGAATTTTTAAATTACCCATTTGTATAAACAAACAACTTCTTAATGAGAAAGAGTTTAACCCTTTGACTGCTATGAGTATGCCTGTATATCCAGCAGGGTCTGTGCCCCATATGTTATAAACATGTTGGCACAACCAAGACTCGCAGTGCCCTCTGTGCTATGGTCATAAATGTCTCATTGGTGTCTTATTTTATTCATTTCAACAAGATCATGAATCATGTATTATACATCTGTAATTTGGTCATCTGGGATCATCCTAAGGTTTTAATACTTCTTTTCATTGCAAAAAGATGTAGCTAGAGTCATTTTTCTTGGGTATGGAAAGTAATTGGCCAAACCACTGCTGCACAATCATGCAAAGTGCTCAGCGTAGTGGGCTGCACCCCCCTTCAATAACTCAGTCTAGCGGACATGCTGGTGGCATGCAAAGACCAGCAGTCAAAGGGTAAAACATTTTGCCTGCTCCAATACAAAAAGCCTTTGAAATTTAAGAACCCTTACCCTCGGCTCTAGCTCGACGTTCCAAGTCATCAAAGAGCCTGTTCACTTCTTCCATTTCTCGACGTAAGCGCCTAAGCTGAGGATCAGCTGGATCACCTTCTTGGAGGAGTTTGTCAGCATCTTCATTAAGTGCTTTGCGAATAGCATTTCTTTGTTCTTGGCCCATAGCCAAAAACTAGAAATAATAAATTACTAATTTAAGGCAAGAAAAAACAAGACTCGAAACTCAAAGAAAAATACATAAAGGACACCACTCACCTGGGCCAAATCCCAACTCTTAACAACTTTGATGGTGGCGAAGATCATGTTCTGCCGCATGCGTACTTGCTTCTTCTGCCACAGCGCAATGGATCTATCGAACTGTCGCTTCAGCCTTTCTACAGCATCTAAGGCTTCACGATCAGGCGGGGGAATCACAAACACCACTCCTGGCACTGTGCTCTCCACACCAGAGGAATTGGTCACTCGCCATTTCACACGACCTGAGTTATCATGCAGGAGACACTGCTCGCCCTTTTCAATAACAATCTAAAATAATAAGCACAACAAGAATTTGTAAGTAACACAGCATTAATTTTTCAGATATCACAAACTATGTACATATCAATGAATTTATTAAACTACAAAAATAATATGGTAATTATGTTAGATTTACTTTTTATCTAACACTGATGTGAAATTAATATAATTTTAATAAAAGGATTCACATCATGCTGAAAAAGCAGGTATTATAGTAATTCACAGTATTTCACCACGTACGTGCCTTCAAACACCATGAAAAACAGAATGATCTAGCAGGATCTGGCTAAAAGAAGTACTACATAAAATGAGTGCCATTGCAGTAAGATCCAAACAGTGCCATTTATCTCATTTAGAAGAATTAAAAGAACTACTGGTCACATCTGTAGGTGCCCTAAATCTCTCAATTGGGTTTTAAATGTTAAACCTCCACAAAAAAGGTTTTTTTTTTATTAATTCTTCTGAAAATTCCCCCCAAAAATGGTCAATTCCCCACCAGGGGACAGAGACACACTACTCCTAATTTGTCTCAACAGCAAGGGGTTTAACCATGACGGACGAACAGATGGACGAATGGTTGCAGGTTACACAATTATTATATAAGGATTTGATTTCGATACATAATTTTGTTCATTGCCAATTTATAACATACATACAATTAGATCCAAAGTCCATTTATTAACAGAATAAAATGAAGTACTCACATTGACTTGTTTGAAGGAACAGGCACTCTGTACTTGGAGAGGTCGAGTAACAGGCTGTCGACGCTGTTTCAGAGGCACTACATCTTTGCAACGTTCTGCTAAACCTTGCACCACGTCTCCATAGCGGTTTAGTTCCTCTCGCAGCTCTTGCATTCCTTTCAGGAGACGTTCACCTTCATCTAAAGTGAAGTCTGATTGGCTGTACACAGTGTTGAGTAACTCGTCACGCCTGAAACAATTTAAGGAGCAAGTCAGTACATTAGAATATTAGTCTACCACATTCTTTGAACCAAAACAAATCAAAAGCTTGTCATTTGTTTCCTTAAAGAAATTTCTATGGATAGAGTTGTTGACAAGATTATGAGAAGCTTACTTTGTTATCCACTGTTCTGCCTCGTGTACATCACGGAAGAATTTCTGATACACAGCTGCATGTTTGAGGTGTGTTTCCAAACAGAGTGTTAGCTGCAGTAACCATGCCCATTGTGTCTGCATGGCAGCCATGTATGCTTCAATACACTTTGCTGCAGGATGGTGTTGTAAAACAAGGGCTTCGCCTCTATCTTGAACAGCACTGAACTGGATCTCCCGTTTCTCCAAGTCACTCATCAAAGACTGTAAGTGATACAATTTTATTCTTTTTTAAAAAACCCCAAAAAGGTTCATTTTTAGACAATTTTCTGAATGCAATATATTTTTATGACAATGACATATCATTACATAATACTACAAAAACTTAATAAGAAACAAAAGAAAACTTAAAGAGGAAATGCAGAATTAATTTTAGTTTTCTACAATCTCAACAGAATTTTTTCAATGCAAGGTTTAACAAGATTTTGGCTCAATAATGTACAGGAAAGAACTTCAGAACTGTGTTTCACAAATTTAATCACAGATTCATAAAGAAACATGAAAGAACGAAAATGAAGAGTACCATAAAATTAAAAATATTCTTTCATACTACTTTTAGTTCCTAGAGCACACATGATATATTCTAAAACTAACCTGTGCCCCAGATCCATACGATTGCTTTGCATGCAAGAAACATGCATTCAAATTAGTACATACAACAAACATACATGAATATTTCAATAGTTATTCTGCTCTGCACTTGTGAATTCTTACCTCATAGTATTGTTCAATAGCAGGAATGTTCAAGTTCTTGTCGCTCCAATCGCGTGCCACTTCCACTTCCTCCTTCTCATTGAGCCAAATAAGTTCATTGGTGGCAGATTGAAGGAAATCTTGCAGGGTCTCAAGATCTTGAAGGCGTTTGTTGGAAGTATCAATTAAATCACCATACAATTTCTGAAGTTGACTGAGATGCTGGTTGTACAGTTGGAGTTCCTCTCCATGGAAGTGATTCTTAGCTCCTACACAGTGATCAATTCTGACATGAAATTGCTCAATAACTTTATGTTCCCGCTGGTGAAGTTCCAGTTCATTCTGGACACTGGGTAGGTCTGATCCATAATCAGATTCATGCAACTGTTTCTGAAAAAAAATTAATATCATGAATGAACATTTTTGTAAAGAACATAAATAAATTATGGTAAGTAATAGTTAAGAAATTAATGTACAAAATGCAACTATGGAAGGGGTACGTTATAAACTATCAGCAGTAGAAAACATGAAATCTGCATTAATACATGTGGTAAGCATGACAAGTTTTGGTTTGAAAGTTCTAAAGTGATTACAGAATGTAGCTTGCACTTCCATCAACTTACCAGTTTATTTCTGACCCATTCTGCACATTCTTGCAACTGCCGGAAATGGGTGTTGGTATCGACCAATCTTGTTTCCATGACGGTTCTAGTTTCTCTTCTCACGGTTCTTTCTTCCACAGGGAATGATATAGAGGCTAATGGTGTAATCAGCTTCGAATGAAGCAAAGATCGCAATTGAACCCATCGTTGGTGCAATTTTTGCACTCTGTAAGAAAAGTTAATAATAATAATAAGTCCTCCAAAATAAAAAATATTTATCACATGAGAAATAACTTGAACTTTCATAAAAATTTTGTATTACATTGTCTATTCCAGTACAATTAAGTACATCTGAAATATGATATTTTCTAAATTTTATTTCTTATTTTATATCCTTTTTTTAAAGTTTGTTGTGTACTAACATGTATACTTCTCTATAGGAAACTATTAATACTTATTCCTTATACTACAACAGGGTTGTCCAACTGAAGGCCGACACTGCCATTACTGTGACCCGCAAAAGATTATTAATTAGTCAACAATGAAAATCCTGTTCAATCATGTCAGGCAAGAACAGTGCCCAAAGGGCATGCGGCCTGCAGGGGTCATCCTTTAAACGTAAAAATAAGTGAAGTTCATATTTAAGGATTCTTTTATTCAGAAATTCAAAATAATCCCAGTGTGTTTCACTGTGATATGCAAAGTATGGCCTGATATCACGCATGGTTGGAATCCCCTCCCCTCCCCCCCCCCCTCATTGCAGAGCAGCCGAACAAAGTGCTGAAATCAATATTACATGGAAGTCACGAGTAGATCGTCTGAGTAATGAAAATATGGCCCGCAACCATATTAAGGGATTTAGTTACTACAAGGTTTTACAGTTAATACAAGATTCATACAAAGAACAAAGATAAAATATTTTAATGGGAAGATGTAGGCTATGTATCAATATAAGTTAATCAGGTCATTTCAAGGAAAAGAGTATTCCATTCATATTGTCCTTATGGTGGTATACATGAAATTTCAAATGCATAGATAAATTCTAAGATATTCTTAGACACAGATATTCTAAGTAAGTTATAAGTATTTATCAATATGTATAAAATGTAAATATAATCTTAACTCACCTCTTGTGCAGCTCTGGTGCCTGGGGGTACCGGCCCTCACGCAGGCTCTGAACATCTGCAAAGAGTGAATTGATGGATTCTTCAGTATGTCGGATGTCTTGCTCCAAAAGATCCACATTGTGCTTGGCATCCAGTGGGTGTAACCTATCTAATCTTCTCGCTTCTTCTTCCACTCGCTGCTCTAATTCTTCCAGTCGCGAGTCCACTTGTTTCATCTCACGGTGCACTTTCTCAGCAAGGCGTTGCAGTCGTTCAAGTCTTTTGATTTCTTCGAGAATGGCTTGATCACGATCTTGGTGTGCAATCATCAGTCGACTCCAGTTCTTTTCAAGAACATCAATGTGTAGCTCAGGTTCTAGGTCGACTTCACCAACTGCTTCGAAATATTTCTGTAGAATATCACAAAAAATTGTGTATATTTATCTGGTCTACTAATAGTCTTCAAAATATGTTAAAATAATACAATATTTAACAGAGAAATCTCAACAACTGTGATAAACTGATAACAAAATATATTATTAACTATTGTTGCTGGGCTAGACTTTGGGCTAGATTTGAAAGAAAAATAAGGCAAAAAAAAGAAAAGAAGAAAGAAAAAAAAAGAAAGAAAAAGTAAATCGAAATAAAAAGTTAAGGAACTGAATATTTAATCACTTTTAGTTTCTCATGTTTTAAGAAACCAAAAATCGAAATAAAACATCATAAATATTTTCTTCATAATCGTTTATCTTTTTTTTTCTAGTTTAGTGATTCTTTATTGTGTCTTTAACTTCTTAAAATAATATGAGAACACTACATTAAATAAAATTATTAAATAGGTTTTCGTTAAGTTTCCTGCATTCTTTATTTCAGGACATCACAGGTATCGTAACAACTTGAACCACGAAATCTGTAAGACGTTTAAGTTCTGCCACAGCGGATTCATTTGTCGAAGAGCGGTGCTTCGTGGCGGGCCCGCCTCGCGGCGCTGCGCTCACCTCCAGCTCGCGGAAGACGAGCGCGAGGCGTTGCTTGTCGCGCTGGCGGGGCGGCACCTCTTCGGCGCGGAAGCGGCTGGACTCCGCCGCCAGCTTCTTCATCTCGATCAGCGTGTTCGGGAACGTGCGGTCCAGCATGATGGTTAGCTTCTCCCGGATCCACAGATGCAGCGAGCTCGCCAGCTCGCGGTACTCGGTTGTGCGCTGTTGGGCTTCCTGCAAATGAGGGAAAAGGGTGATGCCAATCTCAAGTCGATGAACTCATACCCATCCGACTCGAGTCGATACTCATCCGAACCAAGGTTTGGACAATGCTTCTTTTGTCACTCATTGCTTTTGGAATAATTGAAATAAGAGAGAATCTATGAAGTTCCTTCTTCCTCAAAACTTCCATCGTATGGATGTGGGTCATTTATAAAGATCTGGGTAGTTGTATGAAAAATATATGATCTTGATTATTACGAAATCATTTTCAAGGAGAATATTGCTTACTGCATATTAAAACGGCGAAACAAAATTTAATAAATAAATTCTGAGGAGAAACCAGATTTTATCTGGAAAGGGTTTGGGGTACAGTATCTAGCTAACTTGTAAAGAAATTTCACTGAAACAGACAAAATATTTTTATATGTTGATCTAAAGTTATTTATAGAGTATTCAATTGAGTCACTGAATGATTTACGTCACTATAGAATTTTTTTTTTAAAAAGCAAATATGTGCTATCGGCTTCTGAGAAGTTGTGAGGTGTTAGATAAAGACCCAATATTCCTCCTCCCTTGGGTAAGCCGATTTTCGAGCTACGACCCTCTAAATTATGTCTTTTCTCGCGTGCACCAAAGGGGAAGGAAAGACATTTCGACTTCGTACTTTGAGAATTGATTACTTAAGTTATCAGTCTCTACAACTTGTGAACTGGAATGCAATTTTCTTCAGGGGATGAATTTGTTACAATGACTTTCAATAGACAATTCGTTATAGCGGTTTACAAAATAGAATATTGCCCCCCCCCCGAATAATTATATCTATTACAGACCTAAATAAGCTAGTTTTTTTCTGTTATTTTATTTTGAAGTTCAAACTTCCTCAATTAAAATAGTAAGAGAGTGAACAAGGAAAATTCAACAGGATAATCAAGGAATTTATGAACTAATAAACAATAAAATGTAAAATAAAATGCACGAGTAAATGTACTTACGGAATCGTAGAGAGGATGAATTGGAGGCGGCTCAGGGAACACATCATACAGAGAAGAGATGTACGTAATCAGCGACTTCTCGTCCGGTTCAGGGGTATCAACATCTGAAAGAGACAGATGAATCGTTAGTTCCATTTTCTAAAGAAAATAATCTAAACTAATAAAAAACAACCATCTCTACTACGAAACTGCTCAACAAAGACAACTGTTTAATTCAGGTTATGGAGGTTAATAATGAAGTTGAAATATATCTGGTAAAAAATTTAAAACATAACACGTTTTATATATTGTATCCCTATAAAAGTATGCAGTTGAGAACATTTCACCAATGTGCGTTCTATTAAATCCCCATCAACCGATGACATCTGTTCAATTCTTTCTAATGAAATAAAAGGCGGTAGACGAGAATCTAAAAAATGGAGAGCTTTGTGACTAATTTCCCACTGTATCTTATTTTACTCCAGTTAAATGTATTTAATGTAACAGTTAAAAGATGTATGCGACTTATGGAGACGTACAATCTGCGCCAATGAGCAAAACCGGGATGGTCCAGGTTTCGCATCTCCTACTTGACACTTGTAAGACGGAACTTCAAACTTAAGCCGCCGCATTATCCATGTGCATATATTCATCTCTTTGCACAAAATGTAAGATTTCAAGACTGGAGAGGGATACTGCTACAACCGTTGCCTCGTAAATGCGAAAAGTGAAACTGCAACTAACCACTTAATTAGAATCTTGTGCGAAATTGATAGTATACAAAATGCATGTGAGAAATAAACTTACTAAGATATATGGTCATTCTGTTGGACATAAATTACTTCTGCGAAGTTAACATCCTGGTGTCAGATTATTATTATAATTATTATTATTAAACATATATAACACATTATAAATAAAGGAGTGGTATTCTAGACTGTTGCTTTAATACTGCACTAAGCTATACGCATGAAGCTCCCTGCGTGCGTTAATACCGACAACACACTGTTCATAACTTCTCTTGAACACTCTACAGGCAAAGCGATTTTATGTACTGGCTCTTCCAGTGCGCCATTCAACGGACGTTAGACCTTAGTTCACAGTGTGCGCGTGGGGCAGGTAGCTCGACACTTACGTTCGACTCAAACTCTTCAATTCTTTCTGTGTTCAAATAATTTCGTAATCGAGTCGAAAATTCGATTCCATCCGGTCAAAATTAGTATGTCATTGAGGCTGAACATACAAATGCACCGCTCAAATCGTAAGCATTACGCATATTCCAGCTCCGTATTTGATGCTCTCCGTAGAAAACCTACGTAATATGAAGACAATAGGTAGTCTTTTGCCTCATAAAACACACATTCATCACTGCCTAAATGAATATCGTGAATTATTATGAATATCCTGAATTATAACAAGTTGTTACTCAATTCTTAATGACGAAAAATCAACAGTTTCGTAAGATGATGATAGCTGATTGATGTTAACTCAGTTGAACTAAAGATCCTGGCCCGTAACTGCGTGCACATTAGACCGTACACACACACACACACACACACACACACTCTCTCTCTCTCACATTCTCTCTCACACTCACACTCTCTCACACTCTCACTCTCTCTCTTATATATATATATATATATATATATATATATATATATATATATATATATATATATATATGCCTTTATGGTGATGCCAGCAATTTCCTGCATTACGAGCCCCGAAGAAGCAGAAAGAGAGGCAGTAGAAAGAACAGAAAAATTGAAAACCTGAAAATGGCAGACAAAGCGGTCTATCCAACAGCAGAAACTTCAATAAAGACCAGCAAATCAACGAGGATATGAACGAGACACGGAGTTCTGAATGGTCCGGGATGGATTGAAAATGTTTTGTTGTTGTTGTTGTTGTAAAAATAGATTTTATAGCACTCCTTCGTGATAGACCTTCTATCATCTTAAGGTAAAGAGCACAGCATCCTACCTGGAGCCACTTACGGATATGTTTTAAGAGTTCATATGAAACCTTGGGGAGCGGGTAATCTTTAAATTAGGTGCCCTGGCAATCTGCCTAGTCGATTTTCATGTGCGTATTTAGGGGCGTTTTGGCAATCCGCAATGCACCGAGGTGTGACGGATAGCGGCGCAGCGGGGACTTGGATGAAGGGGATGTAGTCGCGCTAGGAGCGGGGACTGGGAGAACGGGCAGAGCGATCTGTGGTGTGGTGAGATGAGTAGGATGTGGTGAGCTGTGTGGTCAGATGTGGCAGTGATTTGGTGTGGAATGGTGTGGGGGAGTGGAGGGGAGTGGAGTGAAGTGGTGTGGTGTGAGGTGAGGTGCTTTTCTATTTTTTTCTTATCGTGCGTATGTATTTTTCTAATCTAACACTATCAAAAAATCTCTCTCTAAAAAATTGTATTCAATATAAATGTTTAAACAAATAATCGTTATTTTTAAATAAATATATTGCAAACAATTTAATATAGTTACTCAGAAAATTACAAAGTTCTTATCTGTAAAATTATATATATGTGTGTGTGTGTGTGTGTGTGTGTGTGTGTGTGTGTGGGCGCGCGCGCGCGTGTGTGTAATATCATATAATATGGCTATTTAAATACGACCCAGCATTTTCGCGTCGGTCTGCCCTCACAAGTTTCGAAATAGTCACTGAACGAAAACTGAGCCGTGTTGTGCTCTTCTTTCCATTATTTATCTGTTTTCACAGAGCGTCCGCCAAGGCGTACTTTTTTCCTTCGTCGTTTCAATAATACCGAACAACAACGTCAACGGTGCCTCCGCTGAGGCACTGAGCTGAGCAGGGCTGAGGCGGCGCCGCGCCGCGCCGCTTTGCGGTCACGGTGTCTGGGCGTCGAGACTGTGACAGGGGAGGGGGGTAGGGAAGGGGGCGAGGGCGGGGCGTGAAGCGACGGAAAGAGGTGGGCAGCCGACGGGGGCCTGACGCGCTCTGCTTGGCCACGAGCGGAGCGCCCCGACAGCCCACTTCCTTTGCAATCGAACAAGCACAATTTGAACTCGGAAGAAGAAAAAAATTAATAAATTCAATAATAATAAAAGAGAAGTCGCAATAAAATCAATAATTTAATACCTTTGTTACCTATTATTATTATTATTATTATTATTAATTATTATTATTATTATTATTATACCCCAGGAATGATATCACAATTGTTATGTGGATATACTTAAAAAAGTATAGAGTTTTTTTCTTATCTTTCATATACTTTATCAATCACACGAGTTACAGGACTGCAGGGAGGCAGATTTGCTTTTACCAGATTATAGATCGTAAATACAAAAATCCGTCGCCGTTTTAATGGCGATACTATTGAATACAGTTTCAAAGATTCCGTAGATGTCAAAGAAAGGGGACAATATCGCAGAGTGTTTGTTGGATTAATTTTCTGTGGAGCGGTTACATAATTAAAATGGTGCTCGATACCAACGGATACAAAAAAAAAAAAAAAAACACAAACACACACACAAAACAATAACTAAGTTCAACAAATAAATTATTGATTACGATAACAAGGAGAACAACGAATATCACGATAAGCTCCAAAAAAAAGTTCATTTGCTTGTGTGATGTTTGTGGGTATGTTCAACATCAAAGACGATACAATGAGTTTTTACCAATGCTTTCAAAAAAGAAACCCCGCTCAGAAATTCAACATGTCCTTGGCGCGAAAGAGTCCCTTCACACCGCTGTTAAAGAGAACCACGGCAAAGTATGGCCGGGAAATAAAACCCTGAAAAAGAATCAGCGTCTGTAAAACATTCCCCCCTCGCGTTTATTCGGTTGCCCTTCACGTCGTGGGCGTCGGGGCGAGGAAAAATAGAAAGCCCTTTGACAAATCAAACACGCTGCAAGTGGTTTATAGCACGGGCGTTGTAAGAGAGGGACCCTTCCGTTTCGGTGGGCCGTCGTCGAGAAGGGCAAGCCCCCACTTGAAGGGCCCCTCCTCTTGCCCCAAAACACTCGCGTGCCGATTTCTCACCCGTCTTTTGAACGCGAAGAGAGGCGTAAATTCCGCATCACTGGAAAGTGCAATCAATTACCATTCGCGGACCTCATGCACGCGTGGCGCAAGTGAAAAGTTAATTTTTAAAAAAGCTTTTAAAGAAATCCTATTACATGACTTACTAGATAAAGTTCAAAGCTATGACGTTTAAACTCAGACGTGGACGGCTACGGAAATAATTGTTTCTAAGGTGCGCCATAGTGCCGAGTCATTAAATGTTTTCTCGACGAATTGTATCACGACCATTGCAATAACGCGACAGAGACGCGGCTTTTCGGTGAGGAAAGATGGGGCGGGGCGGATAACGAGGAGGAGGGGAAGAGGATGAACAGGATAGTGAAGGGGGCAAAGAGTGCCTGTACGTAGCGAGACGTAGCGAGCACAGTCGGGCGGTCACGAGACTAGGCGGATGCGTGAGAGCGTGTGCTATGAGCACAGATCTGAGAGGAGCAGGTTATCAGTGTGAAGCGGGCTGGTCGGAAGCTAACGACCAGGCAGACAGGTGCAGGACAGGACAGGATGGAGGGAAAGTTTAGAGGGGCAGGCAGGAGTTTTTTTTATGTGTTGTGTACGTGGAGGGCGGGTATTTCTCAAGCAAATAGATTAAAATATATTTTAAAACAACGCGTTAGAGATTCCCTTTTCCTCCCCCTCTTGG